TCTGGCTCAGTACGTTTAGTTTGATGATGCAAATGAGACATTTATGTTGAGGAAAAAAGCTTGAATTTAAAAAAGAATTCAACTACCTGGCAATACTATTACAGAAAATGCAATGTTATCAGTTCAGTTACATCATGCTTACTGTTGATAGAGAGATTGTTACCCATTTCAGTCTAGAAATGTAAATATGGTATATTTGGTTTGTTTCCTTGATAATTTGAATGCTGAACCTTATTACATTTGATGATTAGTTTCTGTTTTTCTTTTCATAAAAAAGTCATTAGTAATGTTATGTCAGTTACACAGACGCTAGTCACATAATCAAATATTTTACATAATCGGCCTATATATGTATATTATATCTTATTACAGTATATAGCCCATATAAACTTTAAAAGTTTGTTTCAAGCACCTGTGGTCAATTATATTTGGAAAAAAAAAGAATGCAAAGTTTTATATTGGTATTACCAGATGGGTAGAAGCTATGGAGAGTGTACCAGGATTACTACCTAAAGGTTTGTCCTACCTACTATACAAGGAGTCAAAGAATGAAGTACTGACCCATCTTCTAGATTGGATGATAGAAAGTCTGGACGAGTCCAAGGCCATGGCTCAACCAGAATCAGCCTACAAGGTGCGCCATCTCAAGATGGGCTTCAAACTTGCAGGGTCGCTGTGTTCATGTGATTCCAATGTAGCCATTCAGTGCCTGGTAAGACTTGTTTGATTCTGTCTATTATAATAACTCCTTAAAGGCCCAATAGCCTCAGAAATGCTATCAATTACTTTTTACAAAAAAACTTTTTACTTTTAATATTACAGTTTCAAAAAAAAAATACTGATTAGCCATATTTATGAACTCTCTCCTGCATTTGCTCTGTTTGCAAAAAAAAAATGTGAATCAGTTTTATGTATGGAAGTGAATTACATTTTGTTACCTTTACGACACATTATTGTACGCTCAGTGCTTCTTTCTTAAGTTGTTAAACATCTAACATGTTCTTTAACCATTATTAAGACATTATTAAACACATATTTGACATTTCAAAGAATTAAAAAAAATACATATTTCTGAGACATAATGTGTCTTTAAAGGGATACACAGGCAAATTAGTGACAAAAATATTAAAATGATCTTGTGTACTCAAATTACGCTAAAATGACATTTTGTAAAGTCCAGGCATGAATTTCTGTATCAATTCTACATATTTTTGGTTTTAAGCGTAAATACATCTATATATGTTGAACATAATTTTGACGCCAACAGAATCACAAGTAGCTTTTAAACAAGTCATGTGACTTGAACAAACACTGAAAGTTACAATTTCAGATATTTTGGATATTGTATGATCGCAAAAAGTCTAAGTCAGTCATTTGACACGTTTTCAAGGTTCTCTATGACAACTATTGTGAAATCTTAACGCTCTAACCTGACCCACGTGGGTCAAGTTAGGAAACCACCATTATATTCTTTACAAGAAGAAAAGTTTTGTTTCTATGACTGCCTAATGTATTCATTTTGAGGACATTTACAAAATAATGAATGAAAAATTTAAAACGAAGACATGAGAATTTTGTCTGTGTCTCCCTAATGTTGTTTACTATAATAAATTAAAATATTAAGATAGAATTTGGATCCTTATTTTATTAAAGTTGTATGTAACACTGAACTTTCTAGGCATGTCATAGCCTCAAATTTTATACAATATAAATAACATCAATAGTGGGAAGGGCAGAGAATACTAATGTGCCACAAGTAGGTTTTTTTCTTCTGTATACCAAAACTTTAAATTATAACAAAATATCGATAAGTCATATTGAAATATAATCCATAATGTATGTAACAAATCAGTATAAATTGTGATTTACTCTTGGTGTGAAACATTATGAAGAAAGTTTTTTATGTTATCACATAGGTTAATATCAGATTGCCAAATTCTGTCACAGGTAAAAAAATCTGTGTTTAGATCTAAGTGTCTACCAGTAACTGGAAGTGATAATGAAATGAAAAAATGTAATATTTTTCTTCAAATACCAAGATAATTGATTTTTATTTTCACTACAGAACAGAACATACCTTTATTAACTCAAAACTGTTTACAACTACATGAGTATACAGTGTAGTTTTCAGTAAAAGTAAAATAATTTCATTTAACAGATACACTGACATAAGTTGATACTTCTGATGTTAAAGCTATTGTATGGGAATAAAACATGATTTTTTTTTTTCTCCCTGTTTCAGAGTCGAGATGTTCAGGAGAAGTTATTAGACACATTTCAGTCACAGTATATGTCCTTCTCCCTAAAACTACAAATTATTTCAGGACTGGACCAAACTATAAGGCTGCAGGTAAATACTTTGAGTCGTGTCACGACAAATTCAACATAATGGGTTTGCGACCAGCATGGATCCAGACCAGCCTGCGCATCTGCGCAGTCTGATCAGGATCCATGCTGTTCTCTTTTAAACCTTTTAACAATTTGAGAAACTGATAGCGAACAGCATGGATCCTGATCAGACTGCACGGATGCGCAGGCTGGTCTGGATCCATGCTGGTCGCAAACGCACTATGTTGGTTTTGTCGTGACACGGCTCATTTGGTTAATACAGAATTTATTTTTGTTCCATTGTGTAGGAAGCTATAAGCTTATAGACACACTTTCGAATCTGTTCCTGGAACCAACTAGTACTGTTCAATGTAGTGTAAAGTTTCTTGCTCAAGGAAACATTTGAACTGAATCATTTGATTTACTCTGCCTGGTAAGAATGTTGAATTATTTGACAAAAGAAAACTAACCATTTGGCTTTGAAATATTCATGGTTCTTCTCCAGTGCATTTTTGTGCTGCAACTGAGGTTTAGTTTATTATGTAAAGCTCAAAAAAAGTAGATCTTATTTTATGCTCCCCGAAAAATTTCGGGGGAGCATATAGTCGGCGCCTTGTCCGTCTGTCCGTCCGTCCGTCCCTCCGTCTGTCCGTCCGTTTTCTTGTCCGGAGCATAACTTGAAAACCCTTGGAGATAATTTGGTTAAACTTCATACAGTGGTAGAGGGCATTGAGGGGGAGTGCAGTGTCAAAGAACCATAACTCTATTCTGCCCGGTTTTTGAATTATCTCCCCTTATAGAAAAATCTTGTCCGGGGCATAACTCTAAAACTATAAGAGATATCAACATGAAACTTTGTAGGTGAATAGATCTCAGTGGGTAGATGTGCAGTGCATAAGAACAATAACTCTTTTTGTCCTAATTTTGGAGTTATTGCCCTTTGTTAATTTCAACACTTTGAACTTTGTCCGGAACATAACTCTAAAACTATAAGAGATATCAAGATGAAACATTGTAGGTAGATAGATCTCATTGAGTAGAAGTGCAGTGCAAAAGAACCATAACTCTGTAAAGCCTCAATTTTGAATTATCTCCCCTTATAGAAAAATCTTGTCCGGGGCATAACTCTAAAACTATAAGAGATATCAACATGAAACTTTGTAGGTGAATAGATCTCAGTGGATAGATGTGCAGTGCATAAGAACAATAACTCTTTTTGTCCTAATTTTGGAGTTATTGCCCTTTGTTAATTTCAACACTTTGAACTTTGTCCGGAACATAACTCTTAAACTATAAGAGATATCAAGATGAAACATTGTAGGTAGATAGATCTCATTGAGTAGAAGTGCAGTGCAAAAGAACCATAACTCTGTTAAGCCTCATTTTTTAATCATCTCCCCTTATAGAAAAATCTTGTCCGGGCATAACTCTAAATCTATAAGAGATATCAACATGAAACTTTGTAGGTGAATAGATCTCAATGGGTAGATGTGCAGTGCATAAGAACAATAACTCTTTTTGTCCTAATTTTGGAGTTATTGTCCTTTGTTAATTTTAACACTAAACATTGTCCGGAACATAACTCTAAAATTATAAGAGATATCAAGATGAAACATTGTAGGTAGATAGATCTCATTGAGTAGAAGTGCAGTGCAAAAAAAAACATAACTCTGTTAAGCCTCATTTTTGAATTATCTCCCCTTTTAGAAAAATCTTGTACTGGACATAGCTGTAAAACTATAAGAGATATCAACATGAAACTTTGTAGGTAGATGTATCTCAATGGGTAGATGTGCAGTGCATGAGAATCATAACTCTGCCTTGCCTAATTCTGGAGTTATTGCCATTTGTTTATTTTTACTTTTTGAAGTTGTCCGGAACATAACTCGGAAACCATAAGAGATATAAACAAGAAACTTTGTAAGTTGATAGATAACAGTGATTAGAAGTGCAGTGCAAAGAACAGTAACTCTGCCTTTCCTAATTTTGGAATTATTGCACTTTGAACTTTTTCCAGGGACATAACTCAGAAAACTACAAGAGGTGTACTTTCCTGTGTCCAAAACCTATTCGGGGAGCATCACCCGGCTCAAACCGGGCTCTTGTTTCATAATATTTTTTTCACTTGGTATATCTCTCTCTTTTTTCTGAAATCCTAAAGCTTTGAATTATTAGGGGTAAAAAAGAAATGTCATTTATAAAGACATGTTCTTATAACTTTTTATATATATATTCAAGATTTATTAAAGTGCTATCGATCCACTTTTAAAAATCAGTGAAGAAATATGAACAGCTATGTTACTTTGTGAGACCATATTTCTAATGTTATAAACAATATTATAAAACAATAAAATTGTACATGTTTTATTATCGTATAGGATGGTATCCAGTGGTTTTTGGGTGTCCACAAGGTACAGAAGATTAAACAAGAGTCAGAGAAGAGTGCAGGATTCAGTAGTTATCAGAGAGCTGTCAAGTTCCTGCTACAGAAACAAGTTGTTAGGGTGATTGTTGCCTTGACAACGCTTATAAAGAAAGTCCATCTGTATGAAGTTATGAGTAAATTGAGTTTACAGCTGGAAAGGTTTGTTACATAAGTTTTTGTAATAAATACAATAAATAAATAAATACAAATGTTAATTAATTAAAATACGTATAAATGTTAGTAAAAGCACAGCTGATGTATTTTAAATTATTCTCTTCGCATTATTATCTTCGCACACACAAAATTACCAGAATGATGTTGTATCTGTTTTTATGAGATGGGGGATTACATAGTGATTAGAATGGTGGTGACGAAATAGTCATGCATGATGTTTGAAAGCAGAAAGACTCCTTACAGCTACATAGTAGTACATTTGTAGTTTGAAAACCTTGAAAATTCATGATTAAGACATTAACACCCATGATTATATCAAATATATGAGAGGGAAGAAACCAATAGTATAATATAGATGAAGACTGTTCTGATATTTTCAGGGTTATAGATTCTATTCCTACACCAGGATCAAAGTCAGAGGAGAGTCAGTTAGACATTGATATGGAGACAATATCCTCTGCCCTGAGTGAATCTGATATTGAAGCAATTATAACATGTGTCGATGAAATTACTAAAGTCTACACTCTAGCTCCTACACTCATTGTAAGTATTGACACAGACCTCAATCAGCAGTTAAATTTTAATGATTATCAAATACATTATGAAGGAATACTGCTACCCAGTGCCTGTAATAGATAATGATGACATTTGGAGCTTTAGATAAAACAAAATATAGCTGAGTTGTTCAGTTTACTAACTGAATGATTTGCCCCTCACTGTTGTGTATATAAAATCTGTCAGGAGGCGATGAATTCTTTTACATCAGGATGCTATCCAGCTAGTTTGCCAACAGTCAATGGTTCTAATGAGAAGCTTGCCAATTTATAAAATAATATGCAATGACAAGTGTGGCATTTTTAGTTGGTCTGATTTGAAGAAACTGTTGGGCAATTATGAAAGCTGCAGTGGCGTCATTGTTGTAGCGCAAACCTTTAGTGTAGCCCATTATTCAAACATATAAAAGTTATCAAAATAAAGCTTGGAATACTTGCTTATTATGACAAGGTGCAGTTGTTAGAGATTAGTGGCATAATTCTGAAAGCAATATTTTTGGAGTTATGCCCCTACTTTAACTTGTAATTTTCAAATTTAGCCACACCTCCCTGACCCAACAAATAAATCAGTTGAATTAAATAAAGTGCATTTGTGTAAAGAATATTACCAACTTCCTTTACCATAAGTAAATGCTATGAATGTACCTGGGGTTGACAAATTTGTTGAAACAAAGAGGAACTTAAATACATCCATATTATTTATGTAGACCACATAGTCAAAAGAATATTACAAACAAGAAAATGATATGAATGTACCTGTGGTTGATAAATTTGTAGTAAATTATATAATTGATGTAGACCATAGAGGCAAAAGTATAAAATATAATTAGTCTGTGATTTTTTAGCTCACCTGTCACAAAGTGACAGGGTGAGCTTTTGTGATCGCTTTTCTTCCGGCGTCCGGCCGTCGTCCGTCCGTAAACTTTTACTTTAAATGACATCTCCTCATAAACCACTAAGCCAATTTCATCCAAACTTCACAGGAATGTTCCTTTGGTGGTCACCTTTAAAAATTGTTCAAAGAATTTAATTCCATGCAGAACTCTGGTTGCCATGGCAACCGAAAGAAAAAACTTTAAATATCTTCTTTTAAAAAACCCTAAGAGCTAGAGCTTAGATATTTGGCATGAAACATCTTCTAGTGAGTATCTACCAAGTTTGTTCAAATAAAATCCCTGGGGTCAAAATTGGCCCCGCCCCAGGGGGTCATTGATTTTCCCTATATGCATATAGTAAAAACTTAAAAAATCTTCTTTTAAAGAACCCAAAGAGCTAGAGCCTAGATATTCAGCATGAAACATGTTCTAGTGATTGTCTACCAAGTTTGTTCAAATAAAAGCCCTGGTGTCAAAATTGGCCCCGCCCCAGGGGGTCATTGATTTTCCCTATATGCATATAGTAAAAACTTAAAAAATCTTCTTTTAAAGAACTCAAAGAGCTAGAGCTAAGATATTTAGCATGAAACATGTTCTAGTGAGTGTCTACCAAGTTTGTTCAAATAAAAGCCCTGGGGTCAAAATTGGCTCCGCCCCGGGGGTCATTGATTTTCCTTATATATGTATAGCAAAAACTTAAAAAATCTTCTTTGAAAAAAACCAAATAGCTAGAGTTTAGATATTAAGCATGAAACATGTTCTAGTGAGTGTCTACAAAGTTTGTTCAAATAAAAGCCCTGGGGTCAAAATTGGCCCCGCCCCATGGGGTCATTGATTTTCCCTATATGCATATAGTAAAAACTTAAAAAATCTTCTTTTAAAGAACTCAAAGAGCTAGAGCTAAGATATTTAGCATGAAACATGTTCTAGTGGGTGTCTACCAAGTTTGTTCAAATAAAAGCCCTGGGGTCAAAATTGGCTCCGCCCCGGGGGTCATTGATTTTCCTTATATATGTATAGCAAAAACTTACAAAATCTTCTTTGAAAAAAACCAAATAGCTAGAGTTTAGATATTAAGCATGAAACATGTTCTAGTGAGTGTCTACAAAGTTTGTTCAAATAAAAGCCCTGGGGTCAAAATTGGCCCCGCCCCTGGGGGTCATTGATTTTCCTTATATGTGTATAGCAAAAACTTAAAAATCTTCTTTGAAAAAACCCAAATAGCTAGAGTTAAGATATTCAGCATGAAACATCTTCTAGTAAGTGTCTACAAAGTTTGTTCAAATAAAAGCCCTGGGGTCAAAACTGGCCCCGCCCCAGGGGTATCATTGTTTTTAACTATATGTGTATAGTAAAAACTTAAAATAACTTCTTTTAAAAAACCCAGTGAGCTAGAGCTTAGATGTTTAGCATGAAACATCTTCTTATGGGTGTCTACAAAGTTTGTTCAAATAAAAGCCCTCGGGTGAAAATTGGCCCTGCTGGAGGGGGGGGGGGAGATCATTGTTTTTCATTATGTGTGTAGTAAAAACTTAACAAACTAAACATTGTGAAACATCTTCTAATGAGTGTCTTTCAAGTTTGTTCAAATAAAAGCCCTGGGGTTTAAACTGGCCCCGATCCGGGGGCCTTGATACAGGTGAGCGACCTCAGGGCCATCATGGCCCTCTTGTGTATTAAGATCCCCCCATTGTTTTTGTTACAATGCTTATTTTCTGTGTTTGTAGGCACAGCCAGGTCGTACTTTACCTGGTAAGAAGATGGTTGAAGTAAAGGTCAGTCCAGAAGACCCTTATCCTGTCTTCTATCATATTGCTAATGCATGGTATGTATATAGCTCAAGGAGAAAAATTTAACATTTTGTTATAACTTTAGCTATTGCATAAACCAAATCAAATCCTATATTTTAGCTTTATATTTATAAAATTTCATGGTTTTGGTATTCCAAATACAAAAAATGTAGCTTTTTTTGTGAGGGTTATATTTGCAATCAGAACATCTTGGCTACTATCAATAATAACATTAAGTTGTTGTTTATTATATGTTAAGTTTCTTAGTGTAGGTTAGATCGAAATACCATATGCCTTCTGTGTATTCTTACTATTGTACATAGGAATTCTGATTAATGAAATCTATTGTGTTCAAGGTCCTTATACGAGGAGTGACGGAAGTTCTCGAAAAGTTGCGATTGATTTTCCAAGCTCAAATTTAAATCTTGGTTATTTAATAGATTAAATAAACAAAAACAGCACAGATGGTACTGTGTTTTTATATTTAGATATTTAGCTCATTTTGTATAGTGTATGAAATATTTAATTCTATCATATTTCAGTCACTTGCTGGAGTCAGTATTTGTGTTGGTATCATCACCTGCCACATCTTGTGTTCCTACACTGTTTGGTTCTATAAGAAACTTGCTACAGAAGATGACAGAATTCCAGCATGGTCTACTTTATCTGGGAAGCAATGCTGATGCCGTCAACAAAATTATACAAGCTCTTATTCAGATATCTGTAAGAATATATTTGTTGATTAACTGTTCATTATATGATAAGAACAAATGAGACGCGTCATGACAAAACCAACGTAATGCGTTTGCAACCAGCATAGATCCAGACCAGCCTGCGCATCCGCGCAGTCTGATCAGGATCCATGCTGTTCGCTATCAGTTTCTCTACTTGTAATAGGGTTTGTAAGCGAACAGCATGGATCCTGATTAGACTGCGCGGATACGCAGGCTGGTCTGGATCCATGCTGGTTGCAAACGTATTGCGTTGGTTTTGTCGTGACGCAGAATATTAATGTTTTTATATAGCAATATAAAGTACAAAGTCTGACCTAACCGTCATGATAATACATGTATGTTGATTTAAAACTTCATTTATACAGAAAAGATAGATTTTTTGATCTATAATGGAAGTTTATTAAAATCTAAATATGTAGTTTTGAACTTTCTGTAAAATGCATTTGAAGAATATACATTAAATGGGATTTAACTTAATGTAAGCTAACTTTTGGAAATTTGACTTCAAGGACGAACTTGTAACAAAAAATATAATCTACATCTGTTGTTTAATATGATTTAATAGTAATTTTAACTTAAAGTGACATTATGCTTATGTTTTGACATGAATTAACTACATATTTAAAAAGATAAGCTATAACAATGGGGACTAATCAGTTCCTTACGAAAGTCAAAATTTAAGGTACTGGTGATCTTTACTTGAACACCAGCCATTTACACTTTGATGGGCATAATGTCACTTTAACATTTATAAGAACGTTCATTGCTTATGTGGGGCATCTGGATGAGTGGTTAAGGTTGTTGACTTCAAACCACTTGCCCCTCACCGCTGTGGGTTCGAATCCCGACCAGGATTTTGTATTCTTTCATGTGAGGAAGCTATCCAGCTAGCTTACTGAATGTCAGTGTTTCTACTCAGGTGCTTTTAGTGCCTGAAATAATGCACAGAAGGGCACCTTTGGTCTTCCTCCACCAGTAAAGCTGGAAAGTTGCCATATGACCTTAACTGTGTAAGTGCAACTCAAAACCCAATCCATCAAACAAACAATTGCTTATATATTCAGGATTTTAATCGGGATGAAGTATCAGAGGAGAATGTCGCCCAGCAACTAGGTGTTGAACTAATCTACTATATGCAAGCACTTTCTCTTGTTGATAAACTCTTCGAATATCATAGGAGGACAGGTAAGCCAATATGGTGTTTATATGGTGTTTATATTTTACAGATTTTAAGTTATTGAATAATATAATAAAAAATTTGATTATCATTAGCATAACATGCTAAATGGTTGAAATATTTATAAGCTTTTAATTTATATTGCTTTTGTTACCACTCTTACTTATGAAGAAATGGTTCAGATGCACTGTATTGGTAATTTAATAAGAAGGAAAGGAAAACTGAATTAAACTGTAAGTTATACTTGATGTTTGATATAAATGTCAGTAATTTTTTAAATGACACAATTCACATAATTGAAACTCTATCTTAACATGTTTATGTCAGTAAATTTCATAAGGTGTCATAATTCCTTCAGTTGCGGCTGCTTTTTGCATATAACATCAAGGTGGTATCTTTAACTTGGTTAGATTTTCTTATTTCAGACAAGAGTATGACAGAGGATCAGGATCCTATCAGTTATCTACACATGTTATATACAATGACCTTTGCCCCCTTGGGTCATGCTGCTGTAGTACAAGTTCTTACATACAATAACAATATAAAAGCGTTCATACCCTTTGTTAAACTCACTGGTAAGTTATTTTTTTCATTTGGATAATCAAAAGCTGATGGTAGTATTTTGTTCTGTAATAAAATTTATTTAGCTTAAACATACATGAATGTATTTTAGTTTTATTGTGATAGAATATTGAAGATTATTTGACCAATCTTGACATAGTGACATAGCTAGTACTGGTGTCATATTATGAGGAAACATGGTCATGACCCTTGTAATACACAGACCTTTGATCACTTTGCTGAGAGACAGACATCTTAATCACAAGGTTACTACTCACTTGTGATTGTTTCAAGAAATCTCTATCTGAAATGGAAAAAAAAACTTCAGCTTAATAAGTCATACATCAAATATCATACAAATTTAAGTCATTTTATAGAATTATGCAAAATAAAGCAAAAATAGGATGTTACCGTGAGTTAACACAAAAAGATGCAACTTCTGACAACTGCATAAGTGAATCTTCTTTGGCTCGATGCTCTAGAGCCTTGTGACTTTTGTTTGTAAACGGAGAGTCACAAGTTTGAATCCGAGCCACAGCAGGAAATTTTCTTCTACATTTGCATCTTTTATGGTATGTCCTCTTTATTTTGATAAGATAAAATGATACAAGCTGACAGAAATGTAGGTCATACCTCACAAGTTGTTTTGGTATGATTAGAATTGTGTTATGAATATAATTTTAAACTGTAACTTATATGAGCAGCGGCATAATGTGTTGCTACCAGCTTGGATCAAGACCAGCCTGCGCAAAAGCGCAGTCAGATCAGGATCCATGCTGTTTGTTTAAAAACCCTATTACAAGTAGAGAAACTTATAGCTTACAGCATGGATCCTTACCAGACTGCGCAGATTTAACGCTGGTCTTGATCCATGCAGGTCGCAAACGCACTATGTTGGTTTTGTCGTGGCGCGGCTCATTATTTATGTTATATCAGGAGATGACAGAGATGATGCTAGACTAAGGAAGTCAGTGTGTGCTGGATATACTGCAGAGTTAATGAACATGATCATACATCACTCAGATAATGTGGAGTTCTTGAAAAAACATGGGGAAGAGTTACTGGCATTGGGAGAGTCAGGTAGGATCATGATACTTATACCATATAGAACTGTCCTCCTGCTTTATAGGTTTTAAAGTTGCTGTGTTATCATTACAGAGATGAATCAGATTTAAAAAGTTGCTGGAATGTAATATTGTGATTTTTTATTGTTTGCTGGACTGAGGACAAACAAAAAAAGATCATTTCTTTTGTTGCATTTTGCCTCAGTTTAATCTTTCAATTTATGTACTAGCATTTACCAAACAACTGTTACATAACTCTGTACCTATACAATCCTGCTATTAGCCTAAAAGTCATTAGGGATATATTATGTTATGACACTGTTTGTCCATAGCAAATTTATTTCCACACACATCTTTTTAAAGACTTAATTGATTGCACAAAAGCTTTTGAATGACCAAGTTGATTGGACTTATATTTGTGTACAAGTATATAATACAAAATCAGTTTCAGCAAAATAATTTTGACAAGCTTCTGTTTGCTAAATAGTGTTACTACTTCTTTAGACATAAATTTGCTTAGCTAACTACATCTTATGAATCTTTTGAAACTTGATTAAGAGCTACTTGCATTAAACATATGGACATTTTCACTAACCAATTGGCCATGAAAAATTGTTTCAAGAGGTTTAATTGGCAAATGTCACATAAGTAGATCTGAAGCTCCCTAGACATATTTTTTATGCCCCCGGGCATATAGTAATTGAACCGTCCGTCCGTCCGTCCGTATGAGGTTAACCTAGAACGGCAAGTTGGATTTTTCTTAAGTTCTACCTGTACCAATGGCTTCTAAGTTTACACTTTTACTAATCAATACAAAGTACATGATCTGGGCAAGTTTCATAACTCTGGCTTTCATATTTACCAAGTTATTGCCCTTTTCAGCACTTAGAAAATGAATAGTGGTTAACCTAAAACGGCAAGTTGGAAATATCTTAAGTTCTATCTATACTAATGGCTTTATAATTTCCACACTTACTTATCAATACAAAGCACATGATATTGCCAAGTTATATAACTGTGTCAACCATATTTCCCAGTTATTTCCCTTTTTTCACTTTGAAAATAGGGCCTTGTCTGGTTAACCTATTTCGGCAAGTTGGATTTATCTAAATTTCTCCTAATTGCTTAATTTCTTTAATGATATCTTTCATATTTAGTAGGTGGATACCTTTGATGGTCCTCTAATTTTTTTTGGAGTAAGCGGTCTCTAGGGTCAAGGTCAAGGTCACTGGTTTTTGCTCATACAGCCTTTATTTTTTAGTTGATGTCTTAGTTTAATACAAACACCTCCTTCTTTGGGTGTAGTATGGGGTCATTTTGGTCAAGGTCAATGTTACCAATGTCAAGGTCACCAATGTTAAAAATAGATTTTTACATTTTTACAGGTGTATTGACCTTATTCTATAGACAGATGTTATTTATAATTGATAGAAACATAAAATTTGATGGAAATAGTGGTCAGTTGGGTCAAGGTCACCAGTGCTAAAAATAGATTTTTACACATTTGCTCATACAGCCTTTATTAAGTGACCGATTTATTTTATATTTGGTAGGAAGATAACTTGCATGGTATTCATCCTTTTGATTGGGATAGGGATCAGTGGGTCAAGGTCACTTGTGCTAAAAATAGATTTTTACACTTTTGCCCATACAGCTTTTATTTATTGACAGTTGTATTTCATATTTGGTAGGAAGATAACTTGCATGGTATTCTTCCTTTGGATGGAGTAAGGGGTCAGTTGGGTCAAGGTCACCAGTGCTCAAAATAGATTTTTACACTTTTGCCCATACAGCCTTTATTTAATGACAGATGTATTTCATATTTGGTAGGAATCTAACTTGCATGAAGTTAAATATTTTTCAACTTCACAAGTCAGAGCAATGACTTGGCAACTTATATTTTTCACAATTACAGAATGCCATGACTTGGTCAAGCTATAAAACTTGTGTTTACAATTTTTTGGCGATTTTTCTGTCCATAACTGAGTGAATGGGTAAACATTTTTTGAAGTATTGCTACTGACAAGAATCTGAGCCGGGGGCATTTGTGTTTAACAAACACATTCTTGTTTCTTTATACATTATATATTTCTACAAAAATGTTTACATGTATATTGCAGAGTTTAGCAGTAAACTATCTAGACTAAAGGAATGGCTGAACCCACTGAAATCTTTCCCCTCATGTAATCATGACAGTCTACCTGTGATAATAGAACAGTTGAAGACCTACCTTGATGACGTAATGAAGTTACCGCGGGGACTGATCACCGTTCTCCGAGTATTGAAGTATCTGGCTATAGCACCTGTCAATGAATACCCTGAAGGTGAGATTACTTTCTAGTTTAACTTCTGCAGTATTTATGATGTGAAAGATAAATAGTTGTTTTTCTTTTTTCATTTGTAAAACATTTCAGAATATGTCTGTAATCATTATTTTATTTTAATTATAAGTAATATTTTATAAATGCTCTGCACAAGTCTTCATAAATAACATTAAGAGGTAGGGATTTCATTAGTGCTTTTGTGTTTTACTTCTTGGTATAAACCTGAGTCTGTTGATCAAATTAAGTTTAACTATAACCTGTGCAAAGTTGTGGCCTTGACTTAGTAGTGTTTATAGTATAGAGTTTTTTGAATCCTATAAATTAATTAAAGTGACATTTTGCCCATCCAAGGGTATATAGTGAGTGAACAGGCAAAATTCAAATTAGGTTTACATTATGACATAATGACACGGTTGTTCTGTAGACTAATATTGTACATGTATGTGACTTTCAGATAAGAATGAGGAGATGAAGTATAAGTATGTACTGGTAGAACTGTTCAGTGCTGACTGTAGTCCTATATTTGTCACTTTTCTCCAGGTCAGTCATTTTTACATGTATTTAATTGATTACCTGACTTTCTTAGTTGTAGGAAATGTTCTAATCATTTACTGGGGAGATTTTAGGTCATTCACTAGAGTGTTGATGTATAAATGCTATTGCATCAGTAACTTCAATTTCTAAAGACTGATTTGTTTATTAAGCATTATTTTCTTTGCTGAGTTTTACACATTGTAGAAATTACCTTAAAATGTATAAACCTGATTTGGATGCTTGTTTCTATAAATCTATAGTATAAAAAGACAAAGCTTCTCATTTTAAATCATAAATATGTTAATATTTGTTATCTGATAATTTTTCAGAAATTAAGTGATTTGATGTTACGGCCATGGCAGCAAGGTATTCCTAGAAATAATGAAATGTTGTCTCTATATTTGTTTACTATACGACCATGTCTGGAGATGGTTAAAGCTATTACACAGTATCTTATCATGGCACGAGGAACAGAGGTATCTTGTTTTTTTTTGGATTTAACTCACTACAGTGTTGAAGCAGTAGCTCTAGACCCTTGCAGAAATATTTTGATCACAAAGTAGAAAAAAAATGTTGTTTTTTGGCTGATACTTTTAATTTTTATTCATTATTGTATATTAATCAGTATGAAATGATAGATTACTAGTATACATCTTGGAGTGCATTTCCCTGGTTGAAAAGGCAAGGTTTCAGCATTAAAATCATTCAAGCACCTTGTCCGTCATATACTTGATTACGGTGTTTAGTGTGGTGCTCCAACACTTTGTTTAGTCTCACTCTTTAATTATATTATACCCTGCTATATTATTTCATGAACTTGTCCTGTATTAATATAGAAATGTTTTCTTTTATTACGTAAATAATTGTTTGTTGTTGTTAAATGGATGCTGATGTTAACATATTAAGATTTTGCATGAAATTTAGTCAGACTCAACAAATTTTTAGACTTTCAGGGCTTTATAGGCAAAGAACTGTCATTATTGCTGTTAATGTTAAGAATGTTTGAATTATAATAAAGGTTAATAAAATTTTATATTCTGAGGATTTTCAATGTCAGTTTAATTTATTTATTTTTTGGGGGAGTGGGGGGGGTCTATTTTTAAGAATGTTAGAGACTTACAATTTAGTTTATAAACTACAGTAATTTTTACTTTCTTAAATCTCATGGATTTAAGCAACTTTACAATGATAACATGTTTGTGAGAATTATAAATCATCAGTAATATAGCAAAGTGGCATGAATTTTACTTTGACAGTGTTAATGGTTGATGCTATTGTAGAAATAGGTGGAGAATTAAATGAATAGAAAAATATTAGTATGTACGTTCAGCATGAAGTAATAAAATGTAAAAAGAAATCATTTTGTATATTTAACGTTTGCCTAGATATAATTTTTTGTTGAGAAACACCACCATGGGAGGAAACTTGGCTTAAAAAATAATTGGTATTTTGTTATTGTAGTTGTTCTAGAATGTTGTTATAAAACAGTATTGTGTCATATGTTTACAGTTCCGTGACCTGACAACACTGCCAGTTCTGTTTGAACTACACACAGTATTATGCTCTGTACCAGCATCTAGTTTGTTTGTTCTAGAAATCACAGCTGTAAGTAAATGCCAGGTTTTATTCATTCGTGAATTTGATTGTGTAGAGATATTTATATAGGAAATGTTGTGATTGTGTTTTTAGTCCCCTACCGGTTTAACCGGAGGGGACTTTAGGTTTACCCTCCGTCCGTCTGTCTGTCTGTCTGTCTGTCTGTCTGTCCGTCAGTCCGTCCGTCCACAAAACTGGATCCCGCGATAAAGCAAAATGTAATGAAAATATTTTTATGAAACTTGATATATGGATAGATGGCAGTATGGAGATTATGCACGTCTTTTTTTTTTCTTCGTATGTTGAAAATTCTGGTTGCTATGGCAACAAATAGTCTGAAAATATGGCAAATTGAACACATAAACTGGATCCCGCGATAACGCAAGAAATACTGAAAATATTTTTATGAAACTTGATATATGGATAGATGGCAGTATGGAGATTAATTATGCACGTCTTTTTTTTTTCTTCCTACGTTGAAAATTCTGGTTGCTATGGCAACAAATAGTCTGAAAATATGGCAAATTTAACACATAAACTGGATCCAGTGATAACCCAAAAAGTACTGAAAATATTTTTATGAAACTTGAAATATGGGTAGATGGCAGTCTGGAGATTATGCACATCATTTTCTTTTCTTCCTATGTTGAAAATTCTGGTTGCTATGGCAACAAATAGCCTGAATTTCAAGATTTCTGATTTAAATTTTTCAGCTTTTTCACTATAAGTTCTTTATTTCTTAAGGTGTTTACTTCAAACTTTAAATATAAGTTTCTGGTCATCAACCACATATGTGACAAGGTTTACAACTCTAGCACAACAATTATCAGTATTACCTCCCTTGAACTTAGAATTTTTATGAAATAAAATGTTGTCTTTTTTAAATAACTTCTTTATTTCCTAATGTATCTACTTCAAACTTCATATATATGTTTCTTATTATCACTCAACATTTTTGAGAAGGTTAAATACTCTAGCAAGACTATTTCTAGAATTATGTCCCCCTTGAACTTAGATTTTTTTCGAGAAATTGGTATTATTCACTCCAACTTCTTCATTCCTTATAGGATTTACTTTAAAATCCCACATCGTAATAATATGGCAAGGTTGTATAAACATAATTTCCTTACTAGGCAGGGAAACTTAACACATTACTGTATTATAGACAAACTTAGAACTCAAAAGATTTAAGTTCATTCATGTCATTCATTCACTGGTAAAATTGACTGGCCAATGGCCCATCAGATAGTTGCTGGGGTTCTAACCGGTAGGGGACTTATGGATTGCTTGCAATACTATGATAATTGCTTGTTTACATTGTTATATAAAACAAGTTTTCTATATACATGTGCTTGTGTGCCGTGAAACAAAAAAAAGAAAAGAAAAACAGTTGACTATAATTTTAGTCTGTATTTGATACTAAATTAAGGGATTGTCAATACCAAACTTTGTCTTGTAACTCTAGTTTAAACATGTATTTAACTGGCAACAGTAACTTAAGCTTGCTCAGCTGATTTTAAATTGAAAGATGAAGATTTAGAAAGAAAAAAAACACTATGCATGATTTCCAGGCAGGCAGTATGTCAAAGATTTTATTTGCGCTTCAAAAAATATATTAGCATTTTTATTGTAATAATTGAATATCTAGCTGAGAAATCAATTTAAAGTTGATTATATAATTATAGATACAGAAAGATATCGTGGATACCTTGGCAGCATACACACAGCCTCTGTCTCAACCAACTGAGGAAAAGGACAGTAAGTTTTCTGTACCATTATGCTATGCTTACATTGACAAAACCTAAGCACTTGGTCATTTTAGTTCTTCTATGAATTTTAATTGTTGTTTAAAGATATGATTTCTGAATATGTTTAGAGAACAATATTATGTTAAGGTAGATTGGTATCTGTTAATTGTTAGGTATTTTCTTTAAAACAATCTTATGAGTTGCTGTTTAAATAAATGTAATATTTCAGAAATAATATCGGTCTGAGCTGTGTTTATCGGCTATTTAACCAGCCGCATATAAACATGTAGTCAGTAATCTGTGTTTATTGGCAGTTTTAACAGTTTTTTAGCTCGACTTTTCTATGAAAAGGGGAGCTATCCTACTCGCCCCGGCGTCGGCGTCGGCGTCGGCGTTGGCGTCACACCTTGGTTAAGTTTTTCGTACCACCCCACTTTATTTCAGAAGTATTACAAGTATGGCTTTGAAACTTACCATACTTGTTCACCATCATAACCTCCATCTACAGACAAGAGTACATAACTCTGTCAAGGTTTTTGACAGAATTATGGCCCTTTTTTGACTTAGAAAGTGTATTGAGCTTGGTTAAGTTTTTTACCCACCTCACTTTATTTCAAAACCATTGGAGGTATTGCTTTTAACTGACCATACTTGTTTACCATCACGACCTTCATCAACAGACAAGAGGACATAACTCTGTCAAGGTTTTTGACAGAATTATGCCCCTTTTGACTTAGAAAATACATTGAATATGGGTAAAAATCCACTTATTGCCTTAACCCTTTGAGATATTGCTTTGAAACTTTTAATGCTATTTCACATCATTACCCCCATCTGTACGCAAGAGAAGGTAACTCTGTCAAGGATTTGTTTTAAAAAATTAAGCCTTTTATCGACTTAGAATCTTGGTTAAGTTTTTAGTACCAGTCCACTTTTTGACTGAACTGTTTGAGATATTAATTTGAAAGTTGAATACTTGTTTACAATCATGATTCCCAAACATGTCAGGAGAAGGTAATTCTGTCAAAGATTTTATTTGAATTATGGCCCTTAACTCTTTTGACTTAAACATTTCAAACTTTGCTGCAGTGTTCAAGGGTATCACACAATTCAGTAAAATAATTCTTCACTAAATATCTTAATGCTCATGGCCATTGTTCACTTTAAAAATACAGAGATTCTTGTATTGCCTTTTACTGCAAAAACTTTTTTTATTGGCAAGCAATAAAAAAGTCGAGCGCGCTGTCTTACGGACAGCTCTTGTTTTTCTTCTTCTTTAAATACAGTGACAAAAACACAAGGAATGTTAGCTTCTGTATTATCAGTGAAATAGAATTGATATAATTATGTAGATGAATTGTTATTAAATACACATATCTATAATGCAATATTTTCAGAGATAAGCCAGAGTCTATGGACCCTGACTATACGAGATTTGCTCAAGTTTACAATGAAGGCTCCCTATGCCTACCTAAGTGGATTACAGATTCTTTCAGAGTTACTCCCCTTACCATTGCCTCTTCAAACACGAGAGGTAAGATATTAATATTAATTAATTCTGTCATTTTTTTTATAAAATTATTGGTTAAAGACATATGTCATTGCAAAGTTAAAAATAGATTTCATTTGCTACATAATATTAATATTAGTGTGAATGTTTGAGTTTTGTATCAAGTTTGACATTTTTTTTGATAGAAAAGTGTACAGGAAAATTTAATCTAAATCATATTTTCGTTATTTAAATTTAGTCATTATCAAAGATTTGACATGTTGAATTTAGATTTTCTCTGCATGACTAGCTTACGGAACATCGTTAGTTCTACTCAGGTGCCCGTTTGTATCTGAAATAATGCAGGGAAGGGCACCTGAGGTCTTCCTCCACCAGTAAAGCTGGAACGTCTCCATACGACATATACTGTGTTGGTGTGACTTAAAAACCCAGTCAAAGAAACAAACAAAATTCTCTGTATTATTCCAGCCTTTGTCGAAGGAAGAAGAGTCTCTTGCCTTGAACACACGTAAACTCTGGAGTGCTCACTTACTTCCCCTGCATGGAGCATTACACAACATTATCCGTACATTGTCAGCCACAAGTTGTCAACCACTACAGCAAATATTGAGGAAGATATGTTGGCAGATGTCTGACCTTGCCGCCCCAACAGCTACCATGATTACACAGTATGTATCAATTCATTCCACTAAAATATATCAAAGAAAATAATAAGTTATGAAAAATGAAATTTTTAGAGCATATTTTGCCTCAGAAAGAAATAAAATTATTCCTTATTTAGGAAGGGCAAATATGAGTTTTAAAATGTTTAAATAATGGTTTAAGGACGTTTTCAGGAGTTTTCATATAGACATATAGGCAAAATTAAAACTGTTCAATAGAATTTCTTTAAACTTGGCATGTTGTTGGAATATGATAACAGAAACATTTTAAGCGAAAAGAAAATTGGGGTCACCGTTCTCGTTTTTAGCTCACCTGTCACAAAGTGACAGGGTGAGCTTTTGTGATCGCTTTTCGTCCGGCGTCCGTCAGTCCGTAAACTTTTACTTTAAATGACATCTCCTCATAAACCACTAAGCCAATTTCATCCAAACTTCACAGGAGTGTTCCTTTGGTGGTCACCTTTAAAACTTGTTCAAAGAATTTAATTCCATGCAGAACTCTGGTTGCCATGGCAACCAAAAGAAAAAACTTTAAATATCTTCTTTTAAAAAACCCAAAGAGCTAGAGCTTAGATATTTGGCATGAAACATCTTCTAATGAGTGTCTACAAAGTTTGTTCAGATAAAAGCCCTGGGGTCAAAACTGGCCCCGCCCCAGGGGTGTCATTGTTTTTTAACTATATGTGTACAGTAAAAACTTAAAATATCTTCTTTTAAAAAACCCAATGAGCTAGAGCTTAGATGTTTAGCGTGAAACATCTTCTTATGGGTGTCTACCAAGTTTGTTCAAATAAAAGCCCTTGGGTTAAAATTGGCCCTGCCAGGGGGGGGGGGGGAGATCATTGTTTTTCATTATATGTGTGTAGTAAAAACTTAACATCATGAAACATCTTCTAATGGGTGTCTTCTAAGTTTGTTCAAATAAAAGCCCTGGGGTTTAAACTGGCCCAGCTCCGGGGGGCTTATATACAGGTGAGCGACCTCAGGGCCATCATGGCCCTCTTGTTGAGTTATCTGCCCCTGAATCAGACTTTTCTACTTATTTGAGGTCATTTCAAGGGCAGATAACTTATACATACTTAAATGAATTTTTGTTTCTACTCCTGGATTATGTTTTTCTTTTTCTTGTTGAGTACAATACATAATAACATTCAATTCCTTACATCGTTTCTGTTAATTATTTTCAATGAAAATAAAGGTACTTTAAATACTTAAAAAATAGGCCATTTTTTAAGTAAAAATGCACAGGTTAACAGAAGAAGTGGGGATAAAAAGTACCCACTCAAAATTTGTTCTTGAAATTTTGCATATCAACTAAAACGAAGGTAAGCTTCATGAAAATAAGGGGAAATAATTGTATTGTTTCCATTTATTGTAAATTATCTGCCCTTGAATTTAACAAAAAAAACGAATTCAAGGGCATGTTACTCAAAAACAAGAACGGTGACCCCAATTTTATTTTCCAATCTTTTTGTTAATATCCATGTCAGTTAAAGTATACTAGTGTCTCACAGGTACATATTAATACTTAATCCACACATATCAATACTTAATCCACATTTCATACATACCACCATTATATATAAATATTTATTTTCAGAATAATATACATCATTTATATTAATCTTAGGTAAATTTAGGCCAATTATAAAAAAAATATTAATTCTTTAATGTCTTAAAGGCTATTAATGATTAAAATCAAAACCTTTAACTAAAACAACCATAAAAAATAACTAATTTGTATAATTTGCCCTGCCCCCACCCCCCCCCACCCCCCCAAAAAAAAAAAAAAAAAAAAAAAACTGACTGACTGAATTTTGTTTATTTAGCATTTCAATGTTTCATATTTCATTACCAGATTATAATAAATTAGAATCATATTAAATATCAATTAATTTTGTTTATTTATGCACTTATTAACATTAAAGTTATAATTATTTATATTTACTTATTCTAACAATTAAGTTTTAAAGTTCAAAATCAGTAAAATTAATGACTTTGAACAATTATTGTTCTAAAATTTTACGCCATATTTTACAAAATCAAATATTCACAACTTCAAATTTATTATGAAAAACTATTATACAGATATCTTTATTTATCTATCTTTTTGTAAAAGTCAGATTGCTATTCATTGAAATAAAAGGTAACTGCTTAATACATATAAAAGGTCTGATGCAGTACAAAGTGCACTTATGAAGTGCACTAGTAGTGCACTACTAGTGCACTTTGAAGTGCACTACTAGTGCACATCTAGTGCACTCCTAGTGCACTTTGTGTAACCTTTAGTGTGAACTCAACTGTATACTGACCCAACAATATGTTTGAAAGATAACAAAGTTATACATTGTACAAAACTTTTGCATTCATACCATTACGAGATAATGTGTTAAGCTTATGAATCCAGTATGATTCTTGTAATAATCATTGAACTGATTATATATTAACTGATATTGGCATACTAGTCAAGTATCATAAAAAGATCTAAACAGATTTTCTGAAATTTGATATGGAATCCTATGGTATTTCAGTTCTTCAGTATATGATATGCACTCCAGCAATTTTGGTTAAATTAAAATATACAATATAAATTGTATTAACTTTTTTACAGATGTATATTGGATATATTATTGGAACACATAGAGACAGTAGGTGAGATAAGCAAGGTAAACCCGGAGTCAGAGGAGACGAAGGTTGCTCTAGCTACACGAGGGCGGTTCCTAAATCTGTTAGCTTACCTACTGTCACAGCCTGCTATCAAATGTACCATGCTAAGGATAATGGGGTAATTGGCATTCTTTTAACTGTATTAATATGTATGGCAGAATTAAAAGAGATGTCATAAGATATATTAAAGGAACTCCACTAAGGTCCACAAGACTAAAAACATAAAATTTTAATTTTTCACATAGAGCAACTGGAGGACTTAAAAAAAACCAGAAATATATAGAAAAGATAACTAAGAAATATACCCAGAAAGACATTGAAAATCCTTTGTGCTATTTTCAGTCTGATTTGAGTGTGGAGTGTTTTTAATTTTGGGTCATTTTCACAATTAAAATTATTATTCTGGAAGAACAGAGTGAGCAAATGATCTGAAATTTCGCACATATGTTGTAGGTCTAGACCTACATCAAATTGAACATTAACCTCGAAAAATAATTTCTAGCCCCTGAATTTAAAAAACTTCAGTGGAGTCCCTTTAAATTTTAAAAAGGTTTATGTTTATGATGTTTATAAATAACTTATTTATTCATATTTACTTATTTATGTTAGCATTATTGTGCCGGGCATTTAGATTTACCCTTGTCTGTCCATCTGTCTCCATCCGTCCGTTCACTTTTGTGTCGCACGTAACTCAAAAAGTATTTGACCTAGAGTCATGAACCTTTACAGGAATGTTGATCAGCATGTGTAGTTGTGCACCTGGGTATTTTCGTGTGGATTTATTTAATATTTTTAGAGAAATTGCCCTTGACTTAGTAAAAATTTGCAATTTTCAACTTGTGTCGCATGTAACTCAAGAAGTATTTGACCTAGAGTCATGAAACTTTACAGGAATGTTGATCAGCATGTGTAGTTGTGCACCTGGGTATTTTTGTGTGGATTTATATAGTGTTTTTAGAGTTATTGCCCTTGACTTAGTAAAACTTTTCAATTTTCAACTTGTGTTGCATGTAACTCAAAAAGGATTTGACCTAGAGTCATGAAACTTTACAGGAATGTTGATCAGCATGTGCAGTTGTGCACCTGGGTATTTTCGTGTGGATTTATTTAGTATTTTTAGAGTTATTGCCCTTGACTTATAAATTTTTTGCAATTTTCAACTTGTGTCGCATGTAACTCAAGGATTTGAGATAGAGTCATTAAACCTTAGGGGTTTGCTTTTGGATTTATTCAGTATTTGTAAAGTTCTTGCCCTTTACTTAGTAAAAGATTTATAGTTTTCAACTTGTGGCACATGTAATCCAAAAAATATTTGACCTAGAGTCATAAGATTGACAGAACAGTGGCGTGTGGGAGCACCCGTGTCCTATGGACACATTTCTAGTTTTACATAGCATGGTAATGCTGTCTGTAGGATATTTTCAGGTACAGTGTCAGAACAACATAAGATACCTTTCATCTGTCTTATATTTGTCCCTGTTTTATGATATTTGAATGAATTGATGATGCTGGACATATTCTTTTCTCATCAATATAACACACTTTCAAATTGTTGTTGTATTCAGGCCAAGTGGTGAGGAGAAATACCAGGGTGTTCTAGGGAAGATGCTAGACATACTAAACTTGGTGTCAGACAGACAGGATCATGTACAAGATCAGGAGTGTATTGTGGTACGACTTATGTTTAAATTCCATATATATAAGTGATTGCTCGAATTTAATGACAAGTTTAATAAGTAGTGATTTATCCAGTATTAATGTTATTTTTCAGAAGATATAGGTCTTACTGTAGGTAAACTTAATGTAAATGGGTTGAAATGTGATATAAAGAGATAACGTCGCAACATATCTATGATACTAAATTGTTATTTTAAAGAGTCTGTTTAATTGAGAAGATTATTTTGTTATATTGTAGTCCATCCTACAGAGTTTATGTGATATGGAAGTCACATTAACATCAGGGGAGTCTACTCTAACAATGCAAGAACAGGTAACCACATTTGGATAATTTTGATGTATATTTTTATTGTATGTGTTTAATAAAGAGACAAGAGGAAATATAGAGTTGTCCATCTCCTCATTGTATGTTCTTTTCCAACAATTTTCCATCTATATCAAATAAACCTGGCATATAAGTGATATAAGGGGTGTAATGAGTTACAGACTTTGGATTCTTGGTACAGTTCATATATTTTATGGATATTGCTGAATTCATCGATCACAATATACATTGTATCTAATTAATAGTGGTGACATAGCAGTTATCAGCAGAAAAAGCAGGTTGATTGTGGTAAAGAAATTATAAGAACAGTGGCTACTGCTGTCTTGTATATGTCTTGATATCTGTTCTTCACAGATACATGTACTAAATTCAAAGGGAATATATTTATAGATTTTTTTTTCGAACCTAAAGTTTGATAATGATATATATATTGATATATTTAGGTTGCTAATGCTCTACCATCGGGAGACCAGTTACAGTTGATTATAGAAGCTTTACTAGAACATATAGCCCATCCTAACCACAAATATGACACTGTGTTACCGTGTATACGTGCACTGGTCATGCTTACAGAACACGATTATAGCTTCTATCTACTGAAAGAGTAAGTATCTGTTGTGTTGTGAATATTTTGTTTGTCAATTCTTGTCAACTTTTACGGCAGGTTCATAGGTAAAGTTTGTCATTCGTCTTTTGTCTAAACATGGGGGCCTAAGTATCAGGTATGTCCATCCAGAGCAGTCACACATCTTCTGCTCATATAAGTGACAATGTAAGATATTTGTGGAGTATTCATTCACTCTTGATCTATAGTCACATACAGGTTTCCTGGAAGCAGTACTGGCTTATAACTCTGACCTTTCCGGGTTATTTTGAGTCTTTCTTTTGCTGTATATTAACATGTACTTGTATCATGTATGTCTACTTTTGATTAAAAGATGATGACATTTTTAAGAATTACAATTTTTATTGAAGTAAAATAAACTAATAAATTTAATGTCCATGATTTATGAAAGTTTCAATGTTATATTTTTTTTAGAAGATAACAAGAAAAATATCTGTTGACATACAACAGTGTTACAATGTTTTATTATTTTTTTTTATATCTCTGCACAGTACATTTGAGAAGCACAAGTTGTGTGTATACAGACTGCTACAGAGGATAAAGTTTAAGTTCAGCAAGGATAGTTCAGATTGCCTGTCTACATTCTCTACTACCCTCGAATTCCTGAGGCTCCTCGTCTCCACAGAGCCTCCAGATGAGGAGATGCCTCTAACAAGAACAATAACTCTGTCTAACCAAGAGTTACGAGAAGTTGTAGCATGGACTCAAGATATGAGCACTCATCCACTAGTTGACCTACAGAAACTGTTGGAGGTAATTGTTCTTAATTTTTGCTCTTTTTTTTTTTTTTTTTTTTTTTTTTTTTTTTTTATAATTAATTTTTTTCTCAGATTGACCATACGTAGTACAGTGTACATTAACATATAATAGACTTCTGTCCAGATAATACAAAAGCATGGTTACAAAGAGTTGTTTTTTTCACACCCAAACACACGCACACACTTCTGCACCCATACACCCAACATTTTTCCCAATTCATAGATACCAACAGGATTTATAACTATACATATTTCGAACATAACGCACACACAAAACAGCACAGCTCTTTTAATTTTTATTAGGGAGGTCATATTGTGTGGTACTAGTAACCCAAATAGCCAGACATTGGCAATGAAATCATGTTATCCTTATTTAAGATGCATGTTGAATTGTGAAGGGGTTAATGCATCTATTATTGCCTCTAAAAATAAGCAATTTTTGGTCGTATAAACAATCTGTACATATCAGTAATAACTGATTTTGAATAAAGAAGATATGTTCATGTTATGCAAAATCATCTGTATTATTGTAAAATATAGATCAATATTTGAATTGATATTTTAGGAAAGTGTTACGCCGGAAAGGAATGGATATCTTAGAGACTTTAAAATTCATGTCCAAACTATTACATTAAGGATATGCTATGCTCAAATTTGATATATAAAAATATTGATAATTGCTAAACAGTATCTTTGTAAATATAAATAAACAAATTTTGACTTTACACAAAGTAGATACTGGTATGTTATGTTTAAAATTCTACACATTATAGGTGGTCAACAATATAATTTATATGGTGTCATTAAAAAACTGGCAGTTTTTAAAGAAAGGAAACCAAAATTTTACTTGACCGAGTAATAGGGAACACCCCAGCTTCGGAAAATACGTAGTTTATTCAATTAGACAATTTCAGTAAAAATTTTTCAAAGAATTCAATTTTTCTGTGATTTAAAACAATTTTATTCAAGGATGAGTAATAGTATAATGTCTTTTAATTATACATAACAATTATAATTCTTTGACTTTTATCTTCAGGATGGCATGAAAGAAGAAGAAGCATTAGACAGCCTTGTTGACAGTGTGAACAGTTTAATTAATGTTCTACGCAGAGACTCGCCTGAAAAACCTAAAGCTGGTAGATGCAGTTATAACTTACATTTGCTATATATTCATAATAAGTTATGGCAAGTGATTTTTGTTAATATTCAAGTATATTACAAAAGGAATGAAGAGCTTTACTTTACTAACACTTAAGAATAATTAACCATGCTAGTCTAAGCACATTTGTTTCATGTTTTGTCTGAAGATTTAATGGGGGAAAAAAAAATATTTAGAAGAAAGAAATGTTTTATAATTCCTTTGACCTCTATATTTCAGAGATTGCTCAACCCTCATTGCCAGAACCACAACAACTTCCTGTTTTATTTAACATGAGATCTGTGTGCACGGTAACTGATCCAGACGATGAAAGATTGAGCTCTACATTCTGGCAAACAACCTTTGAACCTGACGAACCTGACCTTGTGCCCTTTGACCTGGACAGCATGTGTCAGAAATACTGCAAAGATTTTAGTCTAGAGGATGAATTGAAGAAAGATATTGGCCTTGTTTCAGAGCAGGAACTCACTAAGCCAAAGAAATTAAAGTAAGTGATCTGCTTAATGAATATAGAGCATCATCTTTCATTTTATCATCTGTGCAGTATGACCAGGCTCTCTATTATTGGTATCTTTTTGTATTTTGATATTTAAATTAATTAAACTGAAAATGAACTGTTCAAGATTCGAGGCAGAGCAAATCCATTACAAAACTTGAGAATGTTAAGAGTAACTTTATCTGTTTACAGGGATAGAAGAAAGTCTCAAGAGTTTGTGACATGGAGAGGCAGGGGTGTCAGAAGACCATTTGGTAAGTCTTCTCTATGTGGCATCTAAAATGTAGATATACTTTTCTTGTATTTTAAAGAAAGTTCTTTTTATAATTTTTTTTTTATTCGTAAAATGCTAATTGTAATAACTTTCAATAGAAGGTATGATTTATAGACTTACATACTTACTTCAGTAATATCTTTACCATTTTCTGTTAGGTATGTTTCATAAGTTAAAGTGAATTTTGTCTAGGACTGCAGAAAAAGTGTCCAATATTTACTAGTTAGTATATTGTGATGGTTATACTTTGTTATGCATTTAGTAATTCAAGTAAATTTGCAGATACACTATATTTAATTATATTTTTTTACACAAAGATTTTAAAGATCACTTCCTGTTTAAAAAAATGTCAAATAAAAAAATAAGAAAAGTATGCTTCTATTAATATATTTAAAAGTTGCACCTTTTGAGAGGAAGAGGTATAGCACGAGGTTCCCGGCCAAACAAAAGGCCAAAAAAAGACATCATTTATAATTTTGGGCACCCTCCAAAAAACGAGGTTCCCTCCCCCATCCATGCATGTTTAAAAGAAATTCATGAAAGTTAGAACAAAAAAAGATCAAAATAAAAAAGTGGGGAGAAAAGAAAACAGTCATTTCCCGAAGGGGAAAAAAATGTTTATTGTAAATTTAATTTTTTTTGTCATTATTTTTGTATAACCCTTTAAGTTTTTTTGGGTATTGGGACAAGTTTTAAAATTTAAAAAACTTAAAAAAATAACGGGGAATTCCTTTTTGAATTTAATAGGGGGTTAACCCCTTTTTTTACTAAAGGACAAAAAGTGGTCCTTTAAAATTAAAACTTTAAATTGAAAGTTTTAAAAAGAAATTTTTTTTTGATTAAATTTTCAAAATTTTGTGAAATTTTAAGGGATTTTTATAAATAAATTTTTTATTTTTATTTTTTTCATATTTTATAACTTTGATATTTTTTTCCCCCCTAGGATTTCATCGTGGTAAGGTAGAGGGGTTTGGGGAAACGTGGACGTGGGTTTGAAAAGAGGAAAGTGGGGGGAAATTTATGAAAACCACCAGGGGAGTTTTTAAAAAGATGGTTAGTAAGGTTTGGTAGTCGGGTTGGGCATTTTAAAAAAACTTTTTTTAAAGCTTTATAAGGACTTTAGAAGTGTTTTTTTTTTAGAAAATTTGTTCATATGGATTTTAGCTTATTTCAGAATAAATTCAGACTTCATCATAATGTAAAAATGTTAACTAATACACATTTTATTTTTGCATATTACAGCCGGCTCAAGAGGTGGTAGAGATGGTGAGAACTCTGTATATAGATCAAAGCCTCCATTTGCCAGTCCAAGGTTCAGTGGAAGGTACTGAAAATGTTCATATTTGTATTATTATGTGAATAAAACATTACACATTGATGATTTTGAAATTCATCATCAAACTTGGTCACAATTCAGACAATTTATATACAGATATGATTTTTGTATAATGTATGTTATGTCATAAAAGTGACGCGGTATCATGAATTTGCGATGCAAATAATAGTGACAATTAAAACTTCTTGAATAATACTGGATTTACAGTATATTGTGTTTGGTTGAAATGTAATTAGTTCTGCAAATATAAATAAATGATAAAATATGTACACATACACACATAGAGTGTATGTCAGTCTGTCTTTATAGTTTAACAATTAGAGGGGAAGTTGTTTTTTGAAATTGATGTAAAAAGAGGTTATAGAAACTTACCTCTGCCCCGATTAAATAAGAATCAGAGGATACTGGAAAAAATTTTTTTTTAATTTTTTTCATATCGTCACCGTAGTGCAAAAACTCAATAAGTACATTTTTTGAAAGTTTCAGGAGAACAAAAAAACTGAACTATTATTTTTTTGGGGACAACTTCATAGGATGTAGAATTGAAAGTGCATGTTATATTTTTTCAGTCATGAGAGAACAATGTCTGGTGATAGACGTGATACTAGAGGTGGAAGGTTTGAGTCTCGTGGTCGAGGTTTCAGAGGAAGCTGGACTGGTCCCAGATTTAAAGATGATAGGTAACGTCTTAATTACATGTACAATCTTTTTAATTTACTAATACATATTTACTGCAAAGTAGGTATTTTATCAACTAAAATAGTAGAGCCGCGTCACGACAAAACCAACATAATGGGTTTGGGACCAGCATGGATCCAGACCAGCCTGCGCATCCGTGCAGTCTGATTAGGATCCATGCTGTTCGCTATCAGTTTCTCTACTTGTAATAGAGTTGGTAAGCGAACAGCATGGATCCTGATCAGACTGTGTGGATGCGCAGGCTGGTCGCAAACCCATTATGTTGGTTTGTCATGGCATGGCGCATTTATAGTTATGGTTTAAAGTGTTATATTTACCTTAAGATATTATATGGGATATTTTCTTTGGGATATGAACAATGTATAATGAATATTTACTTGAATATTTTCAGATTTAGTGGTAACAGCATGGGATTCAGAGGTCGTAGCGATCCAAACAGACATCATAGATCTTTTACAAAATGATCATATATTGACATCTTACCTAAAATAAACATTGGAGATAATAAGTGATGATATAAGGACAGCTGACCCAAATCAACATTAGAGATTATAAGTGATGACCCAAATCACCATTAGAGATAGTCCACAAAGTGATGATACATGTTTATTGTCTATTCACATTAAATATACATATTCATTGTGCTCTGCATCATATATTAACAAGAAAATACTATTAAAATGGACAAACTTAAAAGTTACAAGAAAATATTTTTTTACACATTCATTTTTAAAAGTAAGTGAATTTGTGATTAAACACATTTATGTAAATAATACATTAAAGAAAGCTCACAAACAATGTAATGAAATGAATATAAAGTAATACTTGAATTTTGTTTGTTTTGTATGATGAGTGTGGATGATGAGTGATGCCAGAATATGAATGAAGTATAGTGGCATTTGATTGTACAGTTATATTGAAATTATACCATTTATATACTTATCACACCTAGACTTAAGTATGTTTCCTGGTAAATCAATGTATAGTTTGAATTGCTATCTCTTTTTTTTTTCGGATTTAGAATTTTTATACTACCTTATTTCATAAGGCAAAGAGAAAGTCACGTCTGATTATGATAAAAAATTAAGAAATAGTATATACATGTACATATAAGTTTATAAAATGTTGATTAGGTCTGTCCTGAAGTGTATTGATAGCGTTTCTTCTATTATTAGGTATCCTGTAAAGTTTCCGCTTGAGAAAATAACAGTAGTGATCTTTATTTTATCTTGTTAGAATCGAAATAATATCGGTCTGGGTGGTGTTTATCGGCTATTTAACATCGGTTTGATGCCAAAAAAATTAACCACTCTGGCCTACGGCCTTCGTGGTCAATTCCTACGCATCAAAACTCCAAACCGATGTTAAAAAGCCGATAAACACCGCTAAGACAGATATTATTTCTTAAATATATCAAAAAAAAAGATATCGAGTGAACTGATTCATCTGTTATTAGCTCACTTGTCACAAAGTGACAGGGTGAGCTTTTGTGATTGCTTTTCGTCCGGCGTCCGTCCGGCCGTCCGTCCGTCCGTAAACTTTTACTTCAAATGACATCTCCTCATAAACCACTAAGACATTTCATCCAAACTTCACAGGAATGTTCCTTTGGTGGTAACCTTTAAAAATTGTTCAAAGAATTAAATTCCATGCAGAACTCTGGTTGCCATGGCAACCGAAAGAAAAAACTTTAAATATCTTCTTTTAAAGAACCCAAAGAGCTAGAGCTTAGATATTTGGTATGAAACATCTTCTAGTGAGTGTCTACCAAGTTTGTTCAAATAAAAGCCCTGGGGTCAAAATTGGCCCCGCCCCAGGGGGTCATTGATTTTCCCTATATGCATTTAGTAAAAACTTAAAAAATCTTCTTTTAAAGAACCCAAGGAGCTAGAGCTAAGATATTTAGCATGAAACATCTTCTAGTGAGTGTCTACCAAGTTTGTTCAAATTAAAGCCCTGGGGTCAAAATTGGCCCCGCACCAGGGCGTCATTGATTTTCCCTATATGCATATAGTAAAAACTTAAAAAATCTTCTTTTAAAGAACTCAAAGAGCTAGAGCTAAGATATTTAGCATGAAACATGTTCTAATGGGTGTCTACTCAGTTTGTTCAAATAAAAGCCCTGGGGTCAAAATTGGCCCCACCCCAAGGGGTCATTGATTTTCCTTATATGTGTATAGCACAAACTTAAAAAACCTCTTTGAAAAAATCCCAAATAGCTAGAGTTTAGATATTAAGCATGAAACATCTTCTAGTGAGTGTCTACAAAGTTTGTTCAAATTAAAGCCCTGGGGTCAAAACTGGCCCCGCCCCAGGGGTGTCATTGTTTTTAACTATATGTGTATAGTAAAAACTTAAAAAGTCTTCTTTTTTTAAAACCTAATGAGCTAGAGCTTAGATGTTTAGCATGAAACATCTTCTTATGGGTGTCTACCAAGTTTGTTCAAATAAAAGCCCTTGGGTTAAAAATTAACTCTGCCGGGGGTGGGGGAGAAGGTCATTGTTTTTCCTAATATGTGTATAGCAAAAACTTAACATCATGAAACATCTTCTAATGGGTGTCTTATTTCCAAGTTTGTTCAAATAAAAGCCCTGGGGTTTAAACTGGCCCTGCTTCGGGGGTCTATATACAGGTGAGCGACCTCAGGGCCATCATGGCCCTCTTGTATTAACTGTGTGAGCAATAATAAAAATGTTATTACTGGATTCTAGCTGGTCTATATGTTCACAACAATGCAATTGCTCTAATTTGTTCTTAGCATTTGATTTATTATCTGTACAATATCCACTTCCATTGTCTATTTTCACTTCATTGAAAGAGTAGAAGTGATTATGAATAAAATTGATAATGAACCGCTGCATATAGGCTCAAAATAGTCCCCAATCATAGACAATGTGGTTTTATATACCAAAATCTGCAACATTATATCATAGCTTCTCAATAATTATAAATTATCCCTATACTAGTATATGTGCATGATATAATAACACCAAAGGACAGTTAAGTCTTTTATTTTATATGCTTATACACTTTATCATTTTGTGCAAACTACGCATGCAAGCTCACGACCATCAACATAAGGAGGGCACGTGAGTGAGCCGTGAACTCCACATTGTACCTCTACAGGACGCACTAAATGGTCATTGTCACTAGCTGCGCCATGAGGAGCAAACTCTAGCCCTGCGTCTAGACACACGTAGTCAACTTTGCTTTGAGACGGATATGCAGCTACTATATAACCGCTGTACTCTTCTGTCCATCCTGGGTAACAGTTCGCACGTGCAGGTACCATCACATGTGATGAGCGTGAAGATTCAAAAATTATTAAAACGCAATTTAAAACAGTGATAAAGACACATTTTTCAACGAAAGTAGCCTTTTAATGATACAAACGTATTTTATATATTTTTTTCTGACGGTATTATCAGATGCTTATGTAAGTTTCATATTACACGTATAACTGCAATCACATTTATATGACATACTTCTGAAAAAATTAAAATCAAATTCATTTTCGCGATGTAAGCATAGAAGACAAGGAGCATAATTCGCAAAAGGATTTCATAGACTTGCCTATATTAACAGTGAACTTAAAGTGAATGTCTTCAACGATTATTTAGAAAAAAAATGTACGCAAAAATATTTTCAGTGGCATCTGCTGTTTTGAAAAGCTTCGCAATTTTGATAGTAAACAAGCATTCCAAGTCAAGTCAATATTTTTTACAGTTTGTAAGAAATGTATCAAAGCGAAAAGGTCAACCTACAAATTAGAAGTAAGAAAGGGACATAACGGAGCCAGATGATTTAAAAGGTTACATACCATTTTGAAATACAATGATTTAAAAGGTTACATGCCATTTTGAAATTTAATATGATAAAGTTCTAATAAGTTTTCCAAGATGGAAATGAATGGTTATGAGAGTTTCTGAGGAATGTACTGGCATGCGAGCAGTTCCCGTACAGAAGCAGTACCCGTATTTTTCATTTAAACGCTTGATTTTTTACTTGCATTCTTCAAAAATTCATTTCAAATCAAGCAGATACATAAACGAGACAAAATCTAAGTGTCAGTTCGGCAGTACGTATAAAAAGTCTCCATTTTAAATCACTTTCACCTGTGCGTCGTCTCAAAACGTGACCTTGTTTTTCTCTGGGGGATTCCGTCCTTGCGCGCATGCGCAAAAATTACTTACACGTGAGGCTTGTTAAAGGGTTTTCCACTAATACCACCTTTTACAGATAAGTAGGGCAATGTGATGAAAACTTGTTTTTAATTATCAGAATATTGACCAATATTACTATATAGAATAATTTTATGGCTTTGATGCGTAAAAATATCATGCATATATATATACAAGCATGCTGTATTGCATGTGAATGCGTTGGGGGTAACGGTACCGGGGTAATAGATACCCGCGTTAGTCTACGCTCTATTTCCTGAATTACATCTATTTATCTCTTAGATAATGGTCTGTTCAACAAATTGTAAATGAAAAATAGGTCCAATATAATAAATTTTTATAATTATAATGGGTTAGATTTTATGTACGGGAACTATTCTCTTCATACAAAATAATCGATAATTTCGGTACCCCATATGAGGCCTCATAAGTAAGGGTTATTCTATGTTTAGAACATGATGGAATTTCCATGATTTGTGTGACGAGCCGAATATTGATGTGTAAAATTCAAATTTTGGTGCGTGAGCGTAATAAAAAATAATGTTTAAGTAACTATGATTTTTGTACGGGAACTGCTCGCATGCCAGTACCTTAACGAAAAGGTTATATCAACGCCAAAGACATGGTTATGTCAATAGTGGGACCATTTTTTAAAGAAATGTGGAGCTGATAGAAAAAACAATATTTCAAACGTCTTTATTCCATGTTAAGAATTAAGTAAGTAAACATTGATACATTGAATTTTCAATAGACTGCACGCCCATTCTTTTAATTTTGCCACCACGCTGCGTCACAAATGACTCCAAACAAATAAATTGAGCGTGCTAGAAACCTTTTAATTACATTTTTGCATGTTCGACGAGTTAAAGTTAAGAAATATGTACCTCGGCTTTATAAATTAAAATAAATATAATGGCACCTTTAGTTCGGTAAGCTCTGTTTCCAGTACACGAATTTTGCTCAGAGAATCTCTGTTATTGCTTTCTAATGCAGCCAGTTTATTTTCATAGCCAGTTGTTTTATTTCTCAAATCAGCCATCTCTTTCTGTAAGGCAGAAACAACCTGTAACATATCACTGTCCGAATGATAAACAATCCGTTTGTTGTCGGAATTACAGGTACACACATTAAGCAAAAATGAGACTTTTATAACAAACTTAAACGCCATGATAATTGTAATTGTTGTAATGATAAGAATCCTGGTTCGTTTTTATGGCCCTAATGTTAATGTTCTAATTCATTTGATAATGTTTTATTTAAAGGCCCATCAAGTCTCAAAAATGTTTTTTTTATCTTTCAAAATCTTTAGATTTTTCTTGTCATGTTATAGTTTTTTTTTAATTACCCATAGACCATCCTTTGCATTTTGGCAGTGAGTACACTGGCATGTTATTTTTATTTTTTAATTTTGCATGGAAATCAAAATACCATTCTGTTCACAATTTGCAATTTATTTCTCATTCAGCACTATTTTCTTCAGGTGATCATTTTAAATGTTCTTAATGCATTACTACAACATTACAAAGGACATATTTCTCTTTTTCTACAGAAAGAAATAAAAATATCTCTGAATGTTATTGTGCCTTTAAATATCTGACACTTCATGTTTATAAGACTAATAGCATACTGTATATATTTTGTTCCAATTATGATATCTATATACATGTATATATAATCAAGTACGAATCTGGTGTGTTACAACCTTTTAGATTAGAATAAGTCCAACATTGAATATAGGTGACTTTGTAACAGGAACGTGTGTCCTTTCTTATATAGAGCAAATCATGGAAAAGAAGGAGATAATTTTGAACGAGATTCCTTATCTTTTATTCATATCTCAAACATCTACATTAAAGTGCTTATCCACTTGTACATTTTATCGGTTATTAAGACGTATTTGTCGCACAAGTGTAGTTAAACATGATATTGTATTCGATTCTTAAATGTTTGTTTCTGCTGAAGTTACTCAGTGCTGTTACGTGTAAGTCTGACAAAGAAAGATTCATTGACCAAAACAATGCCGAGCTTATACAAGTTATCTCCACCTTACAGAGAGAAGTGGCGGAACTGAAGGTCTCACAAAGTAAAATTGTCGCAATGGAAGCTGAACTTAAAAGCCTCAAGGTATGTCAAATCTCGTTGTACACCTCTCATATACTGAATTTTACTTTCCACCTTATTAAATACAAATATTTAACCAATGAAATTTCCGTCTTGAACAATGTGATGTTCAAATAGAATTCTTGATAGGATTCATCGATTTATCCCCGTTTTCATTTCCAGAGTCCAAAAAAAATCCATATCAAATATATATCAAACCCCATTTAATTTCGTTTTAATTTTCAGAGTCCAAAAAATCCATTTTTAAATATATATCGAACCCCATTTAACTTCGTTTTAATTTTCAGAGTCCAAAACATCCATAGCAAATGCTTATCGCACTCCATATAGTCTCATATTAAATTTCCGAGTGCAAAATATCTACATCCAATGCATATCGTACTCCAGTTCAAAAATAAAATATCAAATTCTTATTGTACTTGACGTCACAAAGTTATGGTGTTTTGAAATAAAGATGTCATTTTACATTGTTGAGAACAATACTGTACATTGTTGAGAACAATACTGATTCTACCGCAGTCGCACACAGCTGCATAACCTTTCGGATTGACAATTAGACTCGGGGTGTAACAGCTGTGTACTTCTCCAATAAAAGTCGGTACTGTTTTCTGTAGGGTCATGTATAAGTTAATATTACGTAATCGTTATTCGCTAACACATTATTCGTACTGGTTATTTTCATGGAAGTATGTACAATGTACCAGGGCATAGATCCGCAGTCTCTCTGTTCCATAGTGATACCATTTGCTTAAAATAGTTCATATACATTGTAAAACGAGCAATTTTTCATGAATATAACGTGTATTTGATAAAGAAACAAACAACACCAGAAATGGCACTTTTTGGAAGTAACATATATTAAGTTAGAACTATGCTTTGTGGAATAATTCAGTTATAGTTACTTTATTAAATCATGTATTTGTTCTTTAACAGTCAAATGCTGTATCCGGCGGTGTAACATATGTTCAATGGGGAAGAACATCATGTCCTAGCAACGGTACAGAATTCATCTACAAGGGATTTATGGCAGGTGCAAGTGAAGCCGAGACAGGTGGTGGCGCTAACAACTTATGTCTACCAGAAGACCCAAGCTTTGCAGGCTATGTTGACGGACATCATGGCGGGGCACATCTATTTGGAACCGAAATTGAAATAGATGATCATGTATCGCGGGTTTTGTTCGGAAGAACAGCCTTTAATCAGAACATACCATGTGCCGTGTGTCGATCACCAAGGATATCACATGTAATGATTCCCTCACGTGCACATTGCTACTCAGGTTGGACAGAGGAGTATACAGGTTACTTGATTGCATCTTATCCGAATAAACCTCAAGCTGACTTTGTTTGTCTTGCTGCCGGGCTAGAATTTGTCCCAAATGGAACTGCCAATGATGATGATCATGTCATGAGACCGGTAGAGGTACAATGTGGTGCCCATCGATCCCTCCCTTGTCCACCTTATGTCCAGGGTCGGGAACTCGCGTGTGTCGTCTGTACGAGATAAGAGTACCTTGTTATATTTCTCTTTTAATGAACTGCATTTTGTAACATATTACGATGATGAATAAAAGTTTAAAATCTAGTGTTTAGAGATATTGTTTCTTTTATCACGAAGCATTGATACATTTTGCTCTATATGTGATAATATTTAAGGACAACATATCTAATTTCATCTATTGATTACTATTTCAAATTTTAAATGACGATGAAGTACACGTTTATCTATGAAGAGTTTTTACTCATACCATTAGAGATCAAACGTTGTTTCATTTATTTACTTTACTACTCTTAAATTATGACCAAAGAAATCGGCCTCAGCAAAACGTCATGTTTGAAAACGACATATTATGAATAAATGTGTTTTATAAATGCCAAGGTACATCTACAATCTGTATCCTTTCCCATTTTCAAACCGTCTCTCCTCCGGAAGGCTTTAGGCTTTTTTTAGTTAGGTGTATATATAGTGTAGGTTCCGAAAATAAAAATACCCGTCTGGTTTGCGCGCAGTCTGCTTATCACAATTTTATAATATCTCAATTTAAAAAGAAATGCCCACCTTAATTTAACTTTCAAAGAATATAAATCATATATTAAATGCATGTACATGTTATGATCTTACGGTACTTAAAATGTTATGAAATAATAACCAAAGGTAAATGATTGTTATTATATGCCCGAAAGGGCATATTATGTTATACCCCCTGGCGTCCGTCTGTCTGTCCGTCCGTTGATTTTGGGGTCACAAGGTCAAAGGTCAAGGTCACTATTACCTTGATACTGAAAACAGTTTCCGGAGCATAACTTAAGTTCCAATTGACCCACAATGGTCAAACTTCATAAGATGATTGTCCATATTGGGTAGAAGACCCCTATTGATTTTGGGGTCACAAGGTCAAAGGTCAAGGTCACTTTTACCTTAATACTTGAAACAGTTTCCGGAGCATAACGTAAGTTCCATTTGGCCCACAATATTCAAACTTCATAGGATGATTGTCCATATTGGGAAGAAGACCCCTATTGATTTTGGGGTCACAAGGTCAAAGGTCAAAGTCACTTTTACCTGAAAACAGTTTCTAGAGCATAATTAAAGTTCCAATTGGCCCACAATATTCAAACTTCTTAGGATGATTGTCCATATAAGGTAGAAGACCCCTATTGATTTTGGGGTCACAAGGTCAAAGGTTAAGGTCATTATTAATAACTTAAGTATTAATCAACCTACAGCTGTAAAATTTTAAAGGATGAACAGCGAATTCCCATGTCTTACAAATGCTTCATCCTTACTAAAACAAAAAAACACTTTCGGGCATATAATGTTCCCCCTAGCGGTGCTCTTGTTTTAACTGTTAACTTCAAGAGTAAAGTGGGTTAGTGGCATGATTCTTGATGTTTAATCTCCGAGATGCATCATAACAGTGACATTTTATTCATGGAGCATTTGAGTGAACAAACATATTAAAACAAAACTGTCAATGGTTTTATTTAGTGTTTTACAGCATTAAAATCGGGGTTATTGATAAAATAGCGTAAGTAGTAACTTGACACACACCGCTACTCGGACACTAAAGAGGTAAACATTTTTTTCTACGATAAATTATATTTTAAATTAGTTACTTAAAAATAACTCCAAAGAAAGATGAATTTGTATAATATATTATGTCAATGAAATGAAATGATTTTTCTGTCTTTATTTTTTTCGTTTCGAGCATAATTATTCTTTTACTTGGGGACCGTGCGACGCTTTCTTAAGAATGACTTAAACGTGTCTCACTGAAGCTCTATGTGAACATGTGAACACATCTCTGCATATTTTAAATTCAAATTTCACAATGGTCATGTTTAAAAGTTGAATTCTGCTGAAGCCGGTGCTAGGGAGCGTTGAGATAGTTTACAATTACCACTACCGCACATGAACAGGTCCAATCAAACCGGGCCTGCAACATGGTCAATTTGCCGTTTTAGGCGTGCTTAATAATAATATAATAATAATAATAATAATAAATACCACATTTATATAGCGCCCTTTTCATTAAAATGTTCAAAGGCGCTTTACATCAATCATATATGTCTAAAACAATATAAATGAACAGGATTATGAACATTAAAAATATTTTGCATTAACTAATTAAAAGTATAAATTATGGAATTATTTTTACATATTAATACAATATAACTTAAAGATCCTTAAAACTCACTTTACAATATTATTGTCATACATTAAAATTGTCTTCAATATATAAATGTGTAAGAAATAATGTGCCTTTTAACATAAACTCATAAATAAATATTAAAAGCTACTTTAAATGCATATTGATGATTTTCATTGTTTTGTTGTCATACTAAATCATCGTTATAAAACAATAGAAATACTAAATTGATTTAAAAATTGTTTGTTTAAAAAAAAAAACTTTTTAATAAAACTAATATTCAAATAACAGATACTTCGTATTCACTGTTTATAAAATTCATTCATAACAGTCACTGACTATTTTCCATAAGCTAAATTGAAGTAGTGTGTTTTAAGATGTTTTTTGAAACTTTCTACTGTGTTACAGTTTTTTAGATGACTTGGTAGTGAATTCCATAGCTTAGGAGCTGATGCCGAAAAACTCCTTTCACCAAATTTCAGTTTAGTTTTTGGTTGCACTAATCGTACAGGTGCATTTGAAGAGCGCAGATTTCGGGAAGTGGAATAAACTTGAATCATTTCCTGCATATATGATGGAGATTGTTGTTTCAGTGACTTGAAAGTATGTAATAAGATCTTGTAATTCACTCTATATTCGATTGGCAGCCAATGAAGATCTTTCATCACTGGTGTAATATGATCTTTCCTAGATGTACGTTTAATCACACGGGCTGAAGTATTTTGAACAAGTTGAAGTTTTTTCATGGTTTGTTGAGGTATACCATATAGAAGAGCATTGCAATAATCCAGTCTTGATGTCACGAGAGAGTTAACGAGTGTTTTTGTAGCTTCTTCGTTGATATATTTTCGAATACGTCCTATCTTACTTATTTGGGCATACGAAGATCTGCACACGGAGCTAACATGATGTTCCATATTAACCCTTGAATCAAAGAATGCACCCAAATTCCTTACACTTGATGACTGTTTGATTTCAGCTTGGTCCACATTGACAGTTATATTTTTCACTGAGTCTGTATTGCTACCGACGAAAAGACTATAAGTTCTGTTTTGTCTGAATTCAGTTTGAGAATGTTGCTGTTCATCCAGAATGTTATTTCTTTTAAGCAGTTTGAGACAGAATCAAGTACAAGTTCAGTTTTGGTGTTGTCCAACGGTTTGAAAGAAATGTATATTTGAGAATCGTCAGCATAGAAGTGACATTGCAGACCATGTTTTCGACAAATTTCGCCGACAGGTTTTGTGAAAAGTATGTAAAATTTTGGTCCTAATACAGAGCCCTGAGGGACACTGTATGTCATATGCACAGGGTCAGATAGTTCTCCATCAATACAAACAGTCTGATAGCGACCACTGAGAGATAAGATCTACACCAAGCGAGCACTTTTCCAGTAAAACCAAAGTCACATTCGAGTCGATTAAGAAGAGTGTTGTGGTCAATCGTGTCAAAGGCAGCAGATAAATCGAGCATTACTAATATTGTAACTTCGCCTTTGTCAAGAGATTGGAGAATGTCATTTTGCACTTTGATAAGTGCAGTTTCTGTGGAATGAAATTTCCTGTATGCAGATTGATTTGGTTCATGTAGATTGTTAGTGTTGAGAAACATATCAAACTGACAGTCAGCCGCAGATTCTAGAAGTTTTGAGTCATATGTTTTTCATTAGCAACTGGTCTAAAGTTTTTCAATAATTTCTTGATCCAAATTGTCTTTCTTTAATAGTGGTCTGATTATCGAAGTCTTATTGCGTGGAGGTACGTCGGCGGTGTAAAATGATAAGTTGAACATGTGCGTTAGATATGGTGATACTTCAAGTTTGCATTCTTTTAGGAGCCAAGTCGGTATCGGATCTAGTTCACATGATTTAGTAGATGACTTTGATATGAGCTTAAGAACTTGCTCTTCTGTAATAACTTCAAATTCACTGAATGTTTCTTTAGGCTCTTGTATTTGAGTTGAATTAGATTCATTTGTTATATTACATTCATTTTTAGATGCTATGTCAGATCTGATTTTTTCAATTTTGTTTTCAAAGAAATCACTAAAAATCTTGAGCTAGTTCTTTAGCAGAAGTGTGTGATGGGAGCTTAACTTCAGGTTTGTGTTTCCGAGGAGATGATTTGTTACTTTGAAAATTTGTTTTTGATCATTACCACACGATTTTATTTTGTCTTTGTAATATGTTTCACGAGATCTTTCAATTACATCATTTACAACTAAGCACTGACTTCTGTATATTTCATGATCTACAGTTAATTTTGATTCCTGCCATTTTCTTTCAAGTTTACGTTTAATGTGTTTCTCATCATGTATTTCTTGATTGAACCACGGGCATTGGGGTCTGAGAACAATTGTTTTTGTTTTCTCAGGTGCATGTTTGTCTAACAAAGATGAAAGGACAGTGTGATATTTCTCTGATGCTTCTGCCATGCTGTCTGGTTTAGGACCAAAAAGTTCAGATGATCTAATATCTGCTTTGAAATCTTCAATGTTTATATCACGAGATTTTCTGTATGTGACTGTTTTACGAATAGGTGGTGGTTTCGAAATATTAACTTTCATTAGGATAGCAAAATGGTCACGTGTTACTTTCCCGTTTGAAGTTTTAAATCCAGGATCAGTTATTTTAATATCAGATACTACATTTTCATTTTCTCTTGTTATGACTACATCTAAAATGTGTCCAGCTACATGTGTCGGTTCATTGACTAACTGTTTTAATCCAAATGTGTTCAGGATGGATAAGAAATTCTGCGCATCACGATTATCAAGTTTATCAATGTGAAAGTTTGTATCTCCTAGAAACACTGTGGTTTTGTCAGTTTCAGCATATTTCGACAGAAAATCAGGAAACTCATTGTTCAAGAATTTTGAAGTACTTAGGCCATTCGTTTTGGATGGAGGAGGTCTATATATTACAACAAGGCGGGTTGAAAAGTCACGAACACTAATGATACAGTCCATGAATTCGAATTGTTCAAAGTCTCCATCTTTACTTGACGAGTCAATTTTGATTTTTATTGAGGTCTTGTGAAGAATGGCACCACCACCACCTTCTCTCTTTAAGCTTAATGTGGTTCTGATTTTAAATACATCACTCCATTAGGTAAGGTTTACACGAAAAGAAAATTTATGTATTTAATAAGATACCACTTCTTAGAAATACAAGCCTTGCCATTTAATACAATTCTATTAGCATTGGTCAAGTACAGAGTTATGTTAGGAATCGGTACATCAGACTCATCAGACCTGTCCACAGTGTTGAGAATGATTGCTGGCGGCATCCATTTTAGCGTATCAAATAGAAGTTATTACATCGTATTTAATGCCTTAAGTCATTAGAACCAGTCTACAAAAATTGTAATGCACATGCTTCGCTTCAAAATATGACTGAACTTAAACGAAAAATAAGCACTGAAGTGACCAAATCGGTACATTGAAAATTTACGTTACTTAACACTTCGAGCAATTGTTCAGTCCTTTTTTGATCCTTTAAACTATATAAATCGATTATTGTTTTCTGAATAGCGTTTTACTATTTTACGTTCCAAAAAAATAGTAACCGTGAACATTATAGCTGCAGTATCACTATGCACTATAACATGATCGACTCAACCGTGTACCGAAAATTTGCCGCTCCTTTACTTTTGAACCGATATGACTAAATTACGCAACGGTGCAAATTTTGCTTAAGTTTGATTTTCTTGAAATATTGTGGTTGGAGACATGCAGCTAAATATACTGACTCCGTTTTAGAAAATCTCTTGTGCCTTTTATGCAAAAATATCTCCAAATATTTTCGAAATAAACAAATCTTCAACTGTTGCAAAAAGACCTCTCGCATGCTTCTTTTTAAAAAAAACAAACTTGTTACTACTAGAAGAAACGTATGGAATACTAGTAGATAAAATAAAAGCTTTACAGAATGTTCATGGGCAGTATTAATACGACAATTGCATAAGTATTCCAATCTTTGGATTATTACCACAAAAGTCATAATAGATATACATGTATAACCTTCATTTCAATATTATTATTATAAAGCTTGCGAATTAGCAACTATCAAAGTGATAAGTTGACCTTGTCTGGTACATTGCCATGCATAAAACGATACTTTTTCCCGATGATTTTTTGAAATTGCCATTCTTTTAAAACTCGTGCGAACTTTTTTTTGTGTATTCTATCTGTGTAGTATTTTTAATACTGCATTGACATGTATAGCGAAACATATAAGATTTCAAAATGTCACAATGAAAACCGTTGAAAAATATGCAGTCTAGAGAAAACTTTATTTATGTATGAGTTTTTACGAAACATCCCTATAAAAAGAAGATATCTTTATCAACAGGACGGCAGAAATCTGTAGAAAATTCAAAAAAGAAAAAAAATCTAAAAAAAAAATGTGTATATTCACCAAGTGGTGTTGGTTATGAATTGAACCAGATACCTTCAGATCGGTTGCCCGATATCTATACCAATATACCACACATCGCTGACGTGTGAATCGATATAATCGTTAGATACCACTGTTTATCCAATGACCTTTACGAAAGTTAATGAAGTGCCAGGTCAATATTGTTGGACAATATTAAACAGATGTATCTATAGATTTATTCACTTTAAAAATTAAAAAAAAGTTTTTTTATTATGAAAAAAGATAGTATTATGCAAACTGTCAAATGTCAAACTTAAATAGTGTGTTGTCTAATGAAATATTGTTCTGATTTCGAAATTTTAACATCTCGATGCGACAGATAGCTTTATGTGAACTTTGGTTGCAATATCTTTTAACGAGTTATTTGATGTAAAGGCATATCAGCGATAACTTTGACGGCTAAAGCTCTTATTCCTTCATATCAGATAACTTCAAACCAAAGTGCAGAATTAGTTATCCTTAAGTCGTGTGATCACTTATATTGAATTAGTACAATCTAATAAACTTATAATACATCAAATAATATGGTTTAAAGTGGAACAATGCGAAAATGTAACAATGCGAAAATGCAACAATGCGAAAATGTAATAATGCAAAAAAGCGAAAGTACGACAGATGGAATGCGAATATACGACAAATTTTATGTGTCGCATTTTCGCTTTGTTGCCTCGAAAGCAAAGGCACGAAGAGACGACAAAGTCAACTTTGTCGTCTCTTCGCATTTTGAGGCGAAGAAACGAAAATACGACATGGCGTAAATGAGCCACCATATACATATTAGTCTACAGCAACCAGAAGATTTATTTTGGCATATTAAAATGTCTTTCGGACAGTTTATAAGTCATGCCCTTGTATGAAAAATGGCCCCGCCGTGGGCGTCACTTAGTTTACATAGCTTATATAGTAAAATGTGTTATAAAAACTAATCAGAAACTACAATACCAAGAATGTAGATATTAAGCATGTTGCATCACCTTGTGGTTCCTTACAAAAGTTCAGTCTCGAGTCTGCAGTTTTCATGTGATTTTGTTGCAACTAATGCTTCTGAGGGATAGCCTTTCCTGCAGATATTTATATATTAAGAAAGTACAAAACAATGTACATTTAAGTCTTCTATCTCAATGTACAATGCCAAGAGCATACATTTATTGAAGAAACATATATTTGAAGTAGATTCCTTATGAAATAAAGAACTTTTAGTGAAAAAGCGTAACAACTTGAACAAAAAATCACTGGATCCAGTTTATGTGTTAAATTTGCCATTTTTCAGTATATTTGTTGCCATAGCAACCAGAATTTTCAAGATAGGAGGAAAAGAAAAAGAAGCGTATAATCTCCAAGCTGCACTCTACACGGAAAGCTACTTCCTCTTAAAACTTAAAAGAAGACGATATACTTTAAGTAAGTTAGCAAGTCTGTTTCCAAGAAAAAGTCGAACAATTAAAATTACTACGTCATCGTTGCAGTCATCAAAACATTTGATGTGTCACGGAACAGTTGTACGACAAAGGACATTATCCTGGGAGTTATGCCTCTTTTGAAATATATTTGAATGTTCGTAAAATGGTCACGTATTGTCACTATAAAAATATTGTAGTAATGCTTGACTTGCTAATAGAGACAAGATACATCCGTAGGACAAAGGACATTGCCAAGAGATAAAGATTTCTAGATTTATACACCGTTGTTATGTAACATTAACACTTCAAATTATAGAAGCTTAAACATTCACAGTCACAAAGTAATTCATATTATTGAATAACCGCCACAACTCCAGTACGCTTAATCTTTTTTTGTAAGACAAGGGTACTTTAAATAGATAATGTGAACAGCATAAGCGGTCGGTGCTCTTGTGTAGAATAATAACATCTGTCATATTTTGCGGTTCGGATAGGAATATCCTTCCCGAGGTGACCCGCCCATTGGGCGGTAACAAGACTTGCCGAGTTACCGCCCATGGGCGGGTGACCGAGGGACGGATATTCCGATCCGAACCGCAAACATATGTCAGATATTTATTCTTGCATATTCTACCATATTCCATTATATTTTAAATTCTTTATCTTTATTTTCAATGAAATATTTTGTCATTACAACCGTAACTACCTTCTTACAACAGCGTATGAATTACAAAATCATTCATAACGGTAAAACGGTAAAATGACGTCATTTTTACCGTGTCATTGTACAGCACATGACTCATCTGGAACCCCCATGCCAGATGAAATTTCTGGCATGGGTAAAACTAACGGAAACGCCAGTCTGATATGCAAGAATAATAATATCTGTCATATGTTGCGGTTCGGACCGGAATATCCGTCCCGAGGGGACCCGCCCATGGGCGGGTTCCCGAGGGACGGATATTCCGAACCGAACCGCAAACATATGTTAGATATATTTCTTGCATATTCTGCCATATTATTTCATATTTAAAATGGTTTACCTCAATATGATATATTTTCATGGAAATTAAAGTCATTTCATCCATAACTATTTTCTAACAATAGCGTATGAACTTACAACTTAAATAACAACGGCGAAATGACGTCATCCTTAGCACATATTTCCCTTCTAAAACTACGTCATTTTAACGCGGTTCATTCATAAAGCGCGCTAAAATGACGTTGTTGTTTGGCACGCGACTCATCTGGCACCCCCATGCCAGATGAAATTTCCGGCATGGGTAAAACTCACGGAAACGCCAGTCTGATATGCAAGAATATGTAGGTGTTATTTTTGTTTAATCGTATATATAATATATTGGTGTTGGACAAACAATAAAAGGTCATGCATATGATCGTCCATTTATAAGACAATATATTAAACATTATGCTATATTTAGTGTTAGATTTAATCAACCCAATCAATACTATTATTTTGTATCTGGCGACATGTAAGTTTCTCATTCTATTACTTCAGATCGAATTTACATTTTTATGTTCGTTATTAGTGTGACGATTATTTTCATTCCAAGACTATTGGCAAGAACAAAGTTCATCTTATGTTTTTGTAAATGGTTTGGCCCATATAATTTTTAAAGTATTAATATTTCAGGTTTTAACTACACAATACTCGTACATAGACAAATGGGTAGATCTTCGAGTAAACCAGTAAAAGCCCCTGTCGTAAAAGACATAACACCAATTAATCCAGCCGAGTTTATTGAATACAAATCAGCTTTTGAAAATGGTGAAATGTCAAAATTGAAGAAAAAGATCGATGAAGATCAAGACAGGTGGAGAAAGATTGTAGTAAATATCGCCATCATAGGTAATTCAGGTGTTGGTAAATCCTCATTCATAAACATTTTCAGAGGAATCAGAGGAAATTGCGACGGTGCAGCTGCGGTTGGTGTTAATGAAACCACTGAAGTACCAACGAAATACGTACATCCTGGTAATATGAATATCGCCCTTTGGGATCTTCCTGGAGTAGGGACGCTGAAATTTCCAAACAGCACATATTTGCAAGACGTAGGGTTTGACAAATATGATTATTTCCTCATCATTTCATCCACCCGTTTTACAGAAAACGACTTGTGGTTAGCAAAAGAAGTTCACAAGCTTGGAAAATACTTTTTTTTCATCCGTACAAAAATGAATGTAGATGTAGAAAATGACAAATACGATAATCCTCAAAGTTGCAAAGATGTCACTGTTAGTAATGTACGAAAAGCAATTGAAACCTACTTTGCAAATGGAGGTCTGACAAATATTCAGGTGTTCCTTATCGACAGCCATTTTCCTTTTGATTATGACTTTCCAATCCTCGTGACAACAATGATAGATGTTGCACCTAAATGGAAACAGGAGGCAATGGCATTAACAATGACAAATCTTACAGAATCCCTTATAAAACGGAAGAAAAGTATACTAAAGAGAAGAATACTGCGAGTATCACTTTATTCAGCTATTGCTGCAGTAGCACCTTTGCCGGGCACGAGTCTTCTTTTTGATGACAAGCTCGTAGATAGAGAAATGTATTTCTATAGAAAACAATTTGGTCCCGACGACATATCGCTGAAAAAAAGTATTGGTTTATTGGAAATACCTGGTGACGTTGAGGCTCTAGAAAAGAGATTGAACCTTTCAAGTCCTTCCTTTGGAACATCTATAGCAAAGTCTGTACCGTTTCTGATGTCACTTCGGGTAGCAGATGTTGCTGGACCAATAACTGAAATTGTATTTCCGGTTATTGGAAGTATCATTGGTGCAGGAATATCTTATGGCAACACAGTTTACATTCTTATGTCCATATTAAACGTATTCGTGTCAGACGCATTAGCTATTAACAAAGAATTGATGAAGAAACTGTCGGCACCGAGTCTGTCACCAAAAGATCACAAGGCAAAACTGTAAAATTGTATACCTAATACTTCTTTTACCTCTTATCTTTTAAAAATGCAGTAAAAAATAAATATAATATTTATTGGATGTTTTAAAGCAATGGTTTTTTCACTCTGAACAGAAGAATAAGTCCTGACTAAGATAACTACATGTAAGTTGTAAAGAAAACGATGTGTTAGATAAATGTACACTGAATGACACTTCTAACGCAACTCCAATGCTTTAATGTATTCTTTATATTATAGTATCTTCATCGTTGGAATTGAAAATTAATATACATATCAAACGTACTGTCTTCAACGTCATCAATTATCACAGAAGTACAAACTATGAAAGAAATTAAAGAATGAATTTAGAAGAAAAAAAAATAATAATGTATAATAGACTTCCGTAATTGATTAGTCACAATAAAATGAAGCGGTCTGTATATTCAGTATTCAAACATTTCTATCTCAGAACCTTAAGTAACTGTTCTTAAATTTAATAATTGGATGCCTGACTTGAGACATATTTACGTGTCTGATTTCGAATGACCTTCCTAGTAAATGCCGACGGAAATTACATACTAGTAGTTGACGTTTTGAAAGATTATTTTCAGTGCTAATGTTAAAAAGTGTTATACATAATCAAAAGTAATAATGTTCGCTCACATCACTTTGAGATTGAGATCATTCATGTTGAACTTAACGTCCGTCAAAGATGTATAATTTTATTAAATCATGTGCACAAAGTGGCCCTACTACTTAGTGAAGTTTACATATTACAATTCAAAAATCACTGTGGTCTTAATCTTCATACAATAACTGTATTATTATAAAACAATAAAACTATTTATTTATAAATCTTGGAAGTTGTCAGATTTCCCATTTCATGCATATGTGTCCTTAATAGGCTAGCGAAAATGGAAGAGGTTGATGTCTTCTTTTCGGCATTTGTATTCCTCTCTGAAGCGTGTTCACGACTGTAAATAAGAATGCTAAGCAAAATGCTTTTATATTTCCCAATTGTAATTTTGACCGAAAGAATAATATCTGAATCTTTAATTAAACATGATATTTGTTTTACGTTGTTTTTGATTAGTTGGCTAGTTCCTTAGTTATATCCCACAGCGCCATCTAAGATTTGTTTCTTATAACAGACGGTTAAATCTAGCGCTGCAATGCTTCACTTTTAAATCAGTACTTTTTCTTTGACTTAAAATGGTATAATCTAAAAGCATGTTAAACCTCCCGATATGACTTCTTTACGAGAGCTATAACATCTTAAAAAAAAGAACTAAAATTTTCATTTCATTTAAAGAGGCATAACTTACCCAGGCCAGTAACAAGACAAAGACGGTTATGCATGTTTGACCAAATTGCATTTTTTTTTCCAAAGATCGTAAATGCTGCTTACAGCGAGAACACGTTGTATTTCATTTCAGTGTCTTCAGTTTCAAATTTTTAAATTTGAAATTAACCAACTGCTGTGATATGCCAGAGACACACCAACTAGCGTAATGTCGCGCATTATAATCCTACGTATATGCTTTATTTTTTCAGCTATGTATTGTAATAGTTCAAGTTTTAATTTTGTTACATCAAAACCTTTAGTTTCATTTTCGTTAAAGATTTGTATAATAATAAAGTGTAAATTAGTGTTAGGAATTCATATTGTAAGGTAAAGTATTTACAACGAAACATAACATTTATAACATTTTACATTGTTTGCATGCAATATCTGCCATTTTCTGACTAGATGAAATAACCCTAATAGCTCAGTGAGACACAAAATAGAGAACTTTTTAATATCCTATACCTAGGTGATTTCTTATGGTTATTTTGTTTTAAAAAGTGCATTAAACAGGAATTTATAATCAGATTTTTTTTTCTTTTTTGTGTTTGAAATCCATGTGTAAATCACGAGGCAAGTTGCAATTCAGAGGTCATACAATAGTTTGCTTTTACAGACCGATAAAGTCATTCACATTTCTTTAAAAAAAAACTACGAATTGAAATGAAAAAGATTCAAAGAGAGACTTTCAAATGATTTTTAAAAGAACCTGATGCAAAGTGTGAACTTAGTCCATATAGACATATACTGCAGAATTTCTATTTACAAACCTTGAATACACAAATATTGTACTTTGGCATTTTGTAACAGAGATAAAATCTATCAAAATTTATCCCTAAAACTAGCACATAAATGGCGACTCGGGCAATTCTAGAAAATATTCGACCAAAAAGCAATGGATATATATAAAACAGCTTATTAAAATGGTGATATGTCAAAGTTGATAAGAAAAAGTTAGCACTTTGGGACAATCATTGATTGGCTACATAGAACTTTCTAAAAAGTACCTACAAAAAGTACATTTGACGAGATATGATAATTTCCTCATTTTATATGTATTTCGTTCAACTGCTTTACAGAAAACATGGTTTTTGTGGTTGGCAAGGTAAGTCGATAATCTCGAAAATGGTTATTTTACTCAAAACAAAAATGAGTATTGATGAAAAATTATAAATAAGAAAGTTAATTATGTCATTTTCACAAATGTATGAAAAGGGACGGCAACCAATGTTGCAAATGTGTTTCCTATAAACAACAGCTGTAGACAATGACTACCCGGACTTAAGCTGAAGGAGGATGCAATGTCATTAAAAATAACAAACCCATTTATATCAAAGTCCTATTTAACGAATTGTTTGCTAAACAAATGTCTTTTAGTTTTGATTGTAATCGAGTTTTGTTTAATGTATTGTACTCATTTTATACAAACATAGACATGTATTTTTACTGACCGACCTCCTACCAACACAATAAGTATATGTAACTAGTCTAAGTACTTTAATTATGATTGCACTTATTTTACTTTGTACAAAAAACACATGCCAATTCACGACCATCCACAAATGGGGGGCAAGGAAGAGATCCGAGGAGCCCACATCTCACTTCGACAGGCATCAAAACATGCTCATTATCATTGGCAGACCCGTGGGGAACAAACTCAAGCCCCGAATCTAGACAAATATAGTCACTGTTTGTTTTCCAGGCCGGGTGACCCGAAACAAGATAGCCATCATATTCCCCCGTCCACCCTGGATAACAGTTTGTACGTGCCGGTAGCATTAAATGAGATGCACGCGAAGACCTACACACAGCACAAGGAATATCCTGATTGTCTGTTGGTTTTCCGAAGAGCTTATTTGAAACAGCACTGTCAGCCTCTATCTCTGTCCCGTATATTACTGCTCCGCTATTGTATCCATCTACATACTGGTTCCATGTAGGGTCTTCCGGCAAACAAAGATTGTTTGATCCCCCGCCATACTCGTCCCATTTATCACCTGCCATATAGCCTTTGTAAATAAGTTCAGTTCCATTCATAGGACATGCAGTTTTTCCCCAACGAATATATGTGGCACCACAGGTCAACTGTTTTGCCTTGAAATAATAACAATTATTTTGCCGGTTTAACATGTCTTTGTTTAATAATAATGTATATTTGAACTAATGAGTAAAATATATTAATAAGCTTCTAATAGACTTTGACAAATACATCCCTATGTCTCAGTTGATCTTGATTATAAATATATGTTTTTCTAGTAACCTCAGTTTACCAAAGACTGGAGCATTTAAATTTAATTTCTCGAAACTAGCTAGGTAACGCTTGAAACAAATACTTTTTTAACACAAACTATTTCAATTGCAAATGTATTTAAAAGAGATATGTGTGCATCTACGTTTATATATGTATATACATGTATTTATAACAGGAAAATCATTTAAGCACGAGGTTTCTTATTCTTAACGATAGGCATGCCCTCCCCACCCCCGCCCCTTTTCTCCGAGTAGAATCATATGGCCGAGTGTTTTAATGTTCTTGCTCGTCGTTTGTATCATAGCCTAAAAAAAAAGAAAATCCTTAATCATCAGAAGAAAAAAATACACTGAGAATGACCCCTTTGCATGTCGTCACAATACATAAATCCCAGCCGATCTACGAGCGTGCTCTATTTAGTTTAGTTTAGTTTAGTTTATACAAATTTATTTTAGTTTGATTGTGTTGGAAGCTATAAGCTTATTTGTATCCCCGACAGACAGTGCGGTAACTGTGCATTAATTGATATACACTAAATATCTCGCACATATATATTTTTTCAATGGCAATGTCTCCAACTATAATACTAATAATGTATACCTTCAATGCAGTAACTTCAGCATCCAAAGATTCAACTTTTCGCTCCAGCTTTGAAATAACATTTAGTAAATCCTCACTGCTGTGTAGAACTAATCTTTTGTCATGCTCGGAGAATATTCTACCACACATGACAGAGATAAACACCGTTACTTTGATGAATATACCATCCATGTTTACTGTAATTTGTAGACTTCAACGTGGCACTTAAGTCAGAAGTTATCACATGTACATTAGATAAACATTTAGGACGTTAAAAGACATTTTAAGCAGTCAGGTTAATATTTCAAATACGTTACCGTAAAAGGTGAGACGGTACTATAGTTTGGTTTAAGTAAAGTTCAAGTAATTTGCAAATATATATCGTATTGAATCATGTGGTTTGAGTTCTTGTTTGTGCTTTTCTGTATCTATTTTGTAATATTATTAAGCCTGACATCAAAACAAAAAAGTAAGAAATATAATATTAATATGGTTTTGATTTCTTGATCTCTTTAATGATATTTATGAGATATTTTTATAATGTATAAGTACATGTATTACAATCCGACTAAAGTTCACATCTTTTTATGTTTTACACAGATAAAAAACGTTTAAATCTGATTGGTGAGTAGTGTTTGATTGAAATGTTACCTAATGATGCGCTTTATAAATCTCTAAAATTTTGGAATCGTTGAATACGTCACCTAAAGTGTGAAAACCCTTCTTGCACATAAATGATTTGCCAGTGCTGTCATGTGCTGTGTTTTTTTTTATGAGAAGTTATGACAACTTTTATGAGAAGAAATTTAACAAAACGAATACAACAGTAGGGACATGCAATTATAATTTAGTTCTGGGCTTAACCACCATTTATGAAATTGTTCACAGTTCAATATTTGTACAACCTGTGTATAGGTACCAAAGTGTAGATATATAATAATGAAATATATAAAATGACATGAAATACAATGCATATAGACAGTAAATTATATTGCATTAGTTGTACCCCGTCAAAGTCATAAGCAAAGACAGTATTGTGATTCTTAAAAGAATGGCTGTACATTGTTGTTTCCTACATATTTTATGTGTTTTCAAACATGTATGTATGGTACTATGATAAAATATAGTAAATTTGACGAAAACAGCGGTAATAAATCATATTAAATCTAAAATCCCAAGGGTCGTGGTCACACGGCTACTTCAGTTAAAATAACTGGACTAAACTAGTTTTAGTTTTAAACTTTTGACCGGTCTAGACCAAGGTATTTTGAGTTTGGGACTGATGTTAAGGCTTAATTGGCCATTGTGGAAATACTTGTTGATAACTCTTTTACTTAATGTGAAGGACTTGTAAGGATTGTAAGGATTGTAAGTCTGAGAAAGAGTTTGCACTGATGTAGACCACAGTGTCATCTTGTGATTTTTTTGTTTTTGCTTATCTTCCCAGTATGACTCATGCTAGCTGTTGTGTATGTGAGTTCAACTGTTGACTTCAATGTATGATCCCCTCTGTCTTTGAGTGTTAAAAATGTTTGATAACCCATAGTCTTTCATATTTAAATTAGCTAAAAACTGTTGTGGTTTTTTAGTATTTTTATTTTTTTATTTATTTACCTATCTATTTATTTATTTTTTTATCTATTTATTTCTTTAACTATTCATTAAAATTTTAATTGTTTAATCGGTATATTATTGAACTTAAAGTAAAATGCTTTTAGATACTTGACTTAATATACAAGCTAGTGATGTAGAATTAAGTAAATTATCATTTTAGTTTTTCAGCATCTGATTCTTTTTTTAAAAAATATTTAAAAAGTACTGTTTTATGTATACATCATGCCTAATCAATTTTTATTGCAGCTGTTTTATCTTTGTTGATCTTATACTTTATGTTATAAACAGTCGGTTTTATTAAAAGCTTCTTAGGAGCTTATGTTGTACTGTTTTAAACCTGCCGACCCTTTGAAATTTCAAAACTTTATTCTTTATCTAAGCGCCAGAACGGAAATCAAACAATAAACCAAAAGAGAGACAAACACTTCACTATTAATAGAAACCTAAACAGAGACCAAATAATAACAGGGATTTTTCCACTTTTTTCCATATCAATGGATCTTATAAAAAATGTCACAATAGCATGCCATTAACTGTTATGTGTGTTAAACACTTGAAAACTATAGTATACTTTTTAAAAAAATAATATATATATATACCCCAAGCAAAAATTTAAAAATTTTTGGTTGCTCCCTTTTTAAAGGGCTTTTGATACTTTTTGTAATTGTTTGAAACCCCTAGTATTGACCAAAAGGGCCTTAAAAATTTGGGGGGCCCCCCCAAATTTAACTTTAATACCCCGATTGACATTTTCCAAAACTATCAGTGGACGGGCTTTACTTATCAGTGAATTTTGGGTAAAAAAATTAAAACCCGGTTGCCCTATCTCACTTTTAAAAAACGTTTTTTAAAAAAATGTTTCTGACGTTGGTTAGGGTTTTTTAACCTTTTTAAATTTTAAGGTAAATCCCCGCCCGTCAGCCACCGGCAAATTCAGAAAAATTCCCCCACCCCCTTTTTGGAAAGGGGAAACTTTTTTTTTTCCAAAAAAAGGGACGGGTATTTTTATAGAAGGATTTTGTCCGAGGGGTACCCGTCCAGGAGGATGGTGTATTTGAAATGGTTTGTCTATGGGGGTCTTTTTTAGCAAAAATGCCTTCCATAGAGTGTCCATGGTGTATTTGTTTGGTTGGGGGGGGGGGGGGTAATGGGTTGTCTAGGAGGTATTTTTCAGCCAAAAATGGTGTCCAAGGGGGTGTTTCTCAGCAAAAATGCCTTCCATAGGCGTCCAGGGGGTATCTGTCCATGGGGGTTTTGAGATTAGTTGTCTGTAAAGGGGGGTTTTGAAAAAGGCCGTCAGTCCAAGGGGCCTTTTTTAGTCAAAAATGCCTTCCATATAGTGTCCAAGGGGTATCTGTCCAGGGGTGTTTTGAAATGGGTTTTCTGTCCGAGGGTGTTTGAAATTGGTTGTCCAGGGGGTATTTTTCAGCCAAAAATTTCATCTAAGCGGGTTGTTTCTCAGCAAGAAATGCTTTCATGCAGGTTTTTTTAATAGGTTGTCTGTTAATGGGGGATTTGAAATAGACTGTCCATCGGGGGCGGGGGTATTTTAGCCAAAAATGCTGTCCTTTGAGAGTCCAAGGGGCACTCTCCCAGGACTGGTACTTAAAGTAAGTTTAAAGGTGGTCCTCTGCAAAAAGGCCTTCTACTGAGTGTCCATATATGCATATCTATAATACCCATGTCCCTGTCAAAAGCTTTTGTGACGGGCGTATTTTGCGACAATGTTGCCCTGTTTTAATTAATATTTATTATTACTTTCTTTAAAAAAAACAACAGAGAAAAATCTTTTGTCCTCAACTCCTTCTACATTCTCTTTTCCTCACCATTTCTATATCGATTTTGATTAGATTTTTGCAGAAGCTTTATCATCAAATTTGTTTTATTATTTATAGATTTATTAATATCTTCTGTATTGTAAAACATAGAAATATACTTCTTTCCTCAACTCCTTCTGCAATTCTCATTCTCAATATTTTAGTGGAATAAAAGCACTTTGTTTTTTTTACCAAAGAAATACATACTAGGCTTCTTGCTATACTCTGCCTTTGGCCATGTACATTTCTCTAGCGCTTTTCATTAACTTTTGATCATCAAGAGCGCTACGGTGTTTTGCAATTTTTTGGCAAAATTATGACCCTTTGTTTGTTTTTTTCATATACAATATATAAAGAAATACTCTTCTGTGCGAAACTCTTCTTTGGTTTTAGGAACTATTTAAGCTTGCAATTTGATACATAACTTTGTAAAACATCATATTATAACACTGTACACATTCCATTCCAGAAACTGGTTTAAGCAGGTTATTCTTTTATTATGCACGATATTTTTGCATTACAATTCACAGATATAATTTTGAAATTTATTTGTTGCAGGTATGTTCTTTAAACCATTAAATACTGCCAAGAACTAATTACAAATGCCATGAACAATTATTAGAAATAACTGAACTTATAATTATTAAAAGAATCTTAATGTACAACAACTCATTCAAATCTTAATCAGGCAATGTGATAATTGTAATATTCATACGTTCTGCATTATCAACAATAAGTGTATAATTCCATCTTTACGCTAGCCTTGTTATATATCCAAAATGAACCCAGTTTCTGTGAAACATTGATTGCAGATGTATCCAAAATGAACCCAGTTTCTGTGAAACATCGATTGCACACACATGTTTCTTTAACCATGACTTCAATTGCATTCAGACCAACTACAGTGTGCAGCTTAAGAGTACCCATGTTGTGTTCAATTCTGTCACCCACTCTTCATGCTCTTTGTTGAATCCTAAAACTCGTGTTTTTCTACAGTTTTGTATGCTATTTTCCTGTCTCTTTTTGAGCCCCATTCATGAAAGTCTGTAGCACATGTGATATCCACCTTTCCAATCTTCAGTGCAGTATCAGCAGACCAAATACCGTTGCATGCTCCTTTTCCATGCCCGGCTTCAAACTAATGCCAGCTGATTTTTTTTATATCAAACAGGTTTAGAATTGCAACAAGGTCAAACATTGCCTTGTTCTGATATTGCGAACTTGGCAATTGAAAATACATGACAGCTGGGTTTTCGATTCCAATACGCACATCGTATTTCCTCCATCTCTTTTCATACTCCCCGAAAGGAGAGCATATAGTCGAAGCTTTGTTCGTCCGTCTGTTCTTCCGTCTAAACAACGGTCCTTCCTTCCAACCGTCCGTCCTCTTTTCTTGTCCGGGACATTACTTTTATACTATTAGAGATATCAACAAGAGACTTTGTAAGTAGATAGATCTCAGTAGATAGATGTGCAGTGCAAGAATCGTAAATTTGCCTTGCCTAATTTTGAAGTTATTGCCCTTCAATCATTTTTAGATCGACTGTTCAAAGAATATCAGAGCTATTGTAGTCGCACTGGCGTCGGCGTGCGCGTCTGCGTTGGTTAAAGTGTTTTGTAAAGTCAAATATCTCAATTATTGCTTGAGATGTTCAAATGAAACTTACAATACTTATTTATAGTAACAATGTACATCAGATTGACAAGTTTGATAACTCTGCATACAACATTTACAGAATTATACCCCTTTTTAACTTAGACATTTTTGTTAAAGTTTTTTTGTAAAGTCAAATATCTCAA